GTGTTTAAAAATTTTTCTCCCGCCTAATGATGATGATGATGATGATGATGATGGAAAAAAAAAAAAAAAAAAAAAAAAAAAAAAAAATTCGGCCAGCATGTCACACAGCAACAACGATATATAACATCAATTTCTTTCTTTGTCAATCATCATTTTTGTTTGTTTGGTTTGTTAATACTTTCTTGGTGTGGGTTTGGTGGTTTTTGGTTTGGTTTTTGTTTTTGGCTGAAAATTTTTACCTGCGAAAAAGAAAACCTGTGAAAATAAAATTAATGATGATAAAATTGATGGATAAAAAATGTCAATGTGCGATTTATGGATTTTTATTATTATTGTTATTATTTATATGTGGCTAATCATCAATTCAATTCAATTCAATTCAATGATGGATTCACATTAATTTAAAGAAATTATCATCACAATTGAATGTGTGTTTGTGTAGGCATTTCTAATGGATTATGGAAAAAAAGGATGAGAATATTTGACAATGTTTTTTTTCTGATTTGAAAATTTTCAAAAAGAAAACAATGAATTAATGATCATTATCGGGGGTGAAAAAAATTGTGAATATTTGGATTGTGTTCAAAAAAGAAAAATCACTGTTTTTTTTTCTTTACTTTTGTGATGAAAAATTATGTTTTTTTTGTCAATTTCCGGCCATAATATTGATGATATGGTTTCGAAAAAAAAACTTAAAATCCAGAAAAGATATTTAGATTTTCAACATAGTCAAAGAAATTGTCAATTTTTTGAAAGAAAAAATCTGGTCAACAAAAATTTCATTGATCACTTTCTCACATTTAAATCATTCATATTCTTCTATATTTAATCACGAAATAAATCGATCATCATCATCATCATAAATATTTTGTCATTGTCAATGATAATAATGATGTGGATAGAAAAAAAATATTTAAAACATCATTTAATACACCTGAAATAGATCTGAATAATAAATAGTTCATAAATTTTTGACCGAAATTTGTCACAGTTTTTTTTTTGAAATATAAATGATGACCAGACAGACAATTTCATTGCATAATAATGATGTGTGATGTGTGTATCATTTCGTTTTTATTTTCATTTTGTTTGTTTGTTTGTTTGGTTGATAATTTCTTTTTCTTTTCTTTTTTTTATTGTCATTATCGTTTCGTTTCGTTGTTATGGTCAGGTATGTGTTAGGGGTCAATCAACGATAAATGATCAACAGAAAAAGTAAATGTGAATCAAATTTATTTTTTTTAGATCAGATTTTATCAACAAAATTTGATGACAAAATGAAAAGTAAAATTCGTTCTTGTTGATGATGATGATGATGATAATGATTGAGAATGGAAAGCAAATTTGCATCAAAATAAGATTCATTTTTTTCGCAGTTGATGATAAAATTTCAAAACAATTCAAAAATAACCAACACAATGATTATTTGGATGACCAAATTTCAACAACAACAACAACAAAAACAACAAAAAGGTGCAATGATCGATAATCGATAATTGTTGTTAGGTGAAAAAAAATCCAATTTATAACACGTTATGTATGGATCAATCGATCGATCGATCGATCTATCAGTAACAATCAAAAATTAGCATCCAGACACAATGGTCACGCAAATTTGATTGATTTATACGATGCAAATTATTAATTTTGTTGCAATAATTTAAGAGAATGTTCAGGTTTGAAAAATCAAATCGATTCTAATTTATTTTATTTGGATGTCATTGTGATGAACAACAACATACACTCAGACCTATCACATTCGTTCATTCATTGACGATGATGATGATGATCAACATCCACATGAATCATTCAAAAATCCAGAAGAAGAAAAAAAATTTAAAAATACATTGTTCATTTGATGTGTTGAAAATGAAGAATTCAATAATATAAAAAAAAGGATTGTTTCACCAAATCGTTGTGTTGGATTTATTGTAACAATTCAACGAATTGATTGATTGATGGATTGATTATGATTTACAAAGAACAAAAATGAAATTATTTTTTTCTTATAAGAAAAGGGAAATTTCTACAGTTTTCAAAAATTCGTTACTGTTATCATTGTTAGCAGCTTAATAATTATGTGTGTGTGTGTGTGTGTGTGGTAACATGGCGGTCTGTGCATCAATCCAATTCACACTTTTACTTTGTTTCCATTTTTTTTTCACAATGTAGCTACCAATTGGATTTGTAGACAAAACGAAAAGAAACGAAACAAAAATCTGTAAAATAAATTGATTGATATATCCTTTTTCATTCATCATAATACAATTCTTTTTTCTTTCTAATCATTCAATATATTAGAAGAAAAAAAAAATGGATCAAAATTTTCAAAGGTCATAGGTGGCGTTGTTTACAGCCATCATTTATTACCAGCATTCCTCCAAATGTGTAGCAAAAAAAACAAAGCATAAAAAACCGTCGTGATTGCCGATTAATAGTAATGATGATGATAATGGCCAACAAGTTGAAAAAAAATATCTAAATTGAGAAAAAGAGAGCGAAATCAAATAATGACAACGACAATAACAGCAAAAAAAACGAAACCTTTTGTGTGTAAATAGACATTGGAAATTTAAGAAAAAAAAATAACTAAAAGGTATTCAGTATTTAAAGATCATTATCACTTTTTTTTATTTGTTCAAAATAAAATCATTGGATCTAAAAATATTTGATCTGGATTGAAACAAAAACACACAAACAAACACACAAAGAAACACATACACACACACACTTAGAATGTGCTAATGATAACCGACGAATGTCATCATCATTAATCCAAAAAAATTGTAGGAGTTTGATGATAGTTAGTTGGTTTTTTTATGGCATCAGCGAAAAAAAGAAATGTCAAATACAAAATTTTGTTTTTCTCAGATGAAAGCATCATCAAACAAACAAACAAAAAAAATCTAACCAAATCGATGAGAATCATCAAAGGTGACTTATCAATCGGTGATTGATTGATTGATTGATTGATTGAAGTAAACAAACAAACAACCAAATACACCCGAATAGATTCCTTGTATTAATGTCATCACAAAATATTTCAGACCATAGACAACCAAAATACATTGTTTCATTTACAAGTTTGTTGTTGTTTTTTTTTCATTTTAAAATAACATTGTTGTTGTAACAAGTTTTTTTAAAATTTTAAAATTTTATTTTTTGAAAAAAAATCTATATGATGATCGATTCGATCCATCAAAATATAAATATGATGATCATCATCATAGAAGTAGTAGTCATTTTACAAAAAAAAAAGAAAACAATAATTTTCTTTATGGGGATGCATCCATAAAGAAAATCAAAATCAAATCAAAAAATCATAATCATAATCATGGTGTATGTGGCAAAAGCCAGAACAAAACGAGAGAAACAAAAATATAGGCCATCACCAAAAAGGTAAAGTTTTGAAATTTTTTTTTTTTTGATTGTCCAAGAGATGTTTGGGTTCAACAACAACAACAAACATCAACCAATCAACCGAAGAATAGTGAATTGTTGTTGTTGTTGTTGTTGATGATGATGATTACCTATTAGCAAACCATATAACATCCTGTACATTATGGAATCGATCATCATCATCAAAAAAAAGATGCTCAAAAAATAATAATGATGCTCGGCTTGACCCATCAATGTCAAACTTTTTTTTTCTTTTAATCGGATAAAATATTTTATGTAATATTTGTTTGTTTGTTTGTTTTTTTTGGTGCAGAAAAACATTCAAGTGTAAAAATATTTGATGACAAAAACAAAAAATCTAATGATTGATTGATTGTTTGTTTTTTATTCAACATCGATTACATAATAAATCTATAATCAATCAATCAATCAATGATTTATTTTGAATTTTTTTTTATTTATGTAAATGTTATATGATAATGATGACAAACAAAATGAATATATTAGTGTTAAATCGATCGATCGATCAATTTAAATAAAATTTTTTTTTTCTTTCCCAGAAAATAAACAAACAAACATCATCATCATCATCATCATCATGGCCATTGATCGTTTAGAAGAGATGACATATAACATGGTAATTTAAGATCTTTTTCATAATGAATTCTTAATTTTTTTTTGTATTTCTCTTCCATCAAATCACATCATTATCATTTGGCGCCAGAATATTTAGAAGAAATACAGCGTCTTCAAAGCACCAAAAAAAAGGAGAAATTGGTTTTTTTTCATTTACCGTTTCGGTTAGATTCGGACAGTTTTTTTTCTCTCTCTTACCGATATTCTCTTTCTTTTTCATCGGTAAATATGATGAAAAGAGACACATACACACACACACAAGTTACAATACCTAGCGGGATTCACTTTTTCGGTTAATTCACGGGAAAGAGAAAAGAAAACTTTATAAATATGGCAATCGATATTCAAAATTTGATCATTTTTTTTTTCATTTAATCACTGTGTTTGTGTCGATTCTGGAATTATATTTGGTTTTTGTTTAGTTTTGTTTAGTTGTGATTGATCTGGTGATCTGATCATGTTTTACTTTGATTTTTCTTTTCATCATTTCATTGACATGTAATAAAATGTTTACATTGTGATTTTAGATAATTTTATAATTTTTGAATTGAAAATTATTCCTTGAAATACAAAAAAACTGTTATTGTGCAGACAAGAAAAAAAACCTGAAAAAAATTATGGCGGCCAAAGATAATTTTCCATTATTATTTTCATTAATTATTCTATTACCAACATTATGTTTTACACAATTTTTCGATTCACATCAATCAAAAATTGATCCATTTGTAAAACGTGTATTAACATCAACAACAAATGTTGGTAGTGTTGGTGGTGGTGGTAGTTCACGTTTTGATCTAATGATTGAACCACCAGTATCTGGTGTTGAAATGTATCATTCATTATCACAACAACAACAACAACAATCGGATCAAATTAGTGATAATCAATCTAATTCAACAACAACAACAACGGTGAATAATAATAATGTATTTCAGCCATCATCATCATCTTCTTCAGCAGCATTACAGAATTCTAATGAACAACAACAAATACAAACAAATTCATTATCAACATCATCGACAAATATATCTGCAACACCAATATCAACAGATTCATTTAGCCATTGGAATCCATCACCAATAATATCAAAACCATTAACATTTACACGTTATGCATTATTTGATTCATTCTATGATCAACCATCATCATCATCATCATCGAATCATACAAAACGACGAAGAATATGGTCAGATACACCATTAGAATCTGATGAATCGATTAATGATATACAAAGATTAAAAATTCTATCATCATCATCATCATCATCATCAATACCATTAGCAACACCACCAACAAATAATCATTTTAGTTTAATGTTAAAATCATCACAACAACAACAACAACAATCATTATCAACATCAACAACTAGTTATCCAAAAGAATCAATAAAATTTGATGATGATTCACGTGATGATATGAATCTTGATTATGATTTAGATGAAATGACACGTGTTAATGATGAAGATAATAATAATGATAATAATGATAGTACACCAAATAATAGCGATGAAATTAATGATAATAATGATAATGATGATGATGGTAATGAAAATGAAAATAATGATAATGATCATTTAACAATACATCAACAACAGCCACATTCTATAAGAATTATTGCTACACAGAATGGATCATTATATGGTATTAAAGCAAATGATGATAATCAAATTACTAATAATAATGATGGTGATATGCTTAATTCATCTGGTACAACATCAAATCAAAATTTTATTATACCGGATCAAATAATGCCATATATGAATGCATATTCAACACATTTAAATTCGGATTTAAAACAATTATCATCTGGTAGTATGATTGGTAATCAAGTTAAACCAATTAGTAATGATGATGTATTTATTGTACATCATCAACATCATTATCCACCAATGTTTATGAATAGTGAATCATCGATTCAATCAGCAGGTAGTACTAATCAGGCATCATCAATTATACAACAGAATGGTGGTGGTAGTAGTAATCTATCACCAGCCACACAAACATCATTTAGACCGTTAAAAAAGATGCAAAAATCGAATAAGAAAAAATCGAAAAAATTACAAATTGTCTACATTAAGGTAAATTTTTTAATATTAAAAAAAATCAGAATTTTTTTTTAGAAAAATCAAATCAAATGATCATAGCCTATTTATTTAGCAAAATTTCACAAAAAAAAATTCTTGATTCAAAAAAATATATTTTGAATCAAAAATTCAAGTTAAAAGAGAAAACAGGAAAAAAATTAGTTCAAAAAAATCGAAAAGAATAAAATGATCAATTTGTTTTGATTTCGAAACAAAAAAAAAACTTTTGCAATTTGAATAAATTTTTTTTTTGTTGTTATTGTTTGCATTATTAAATCAAAGGTACCATTATTGAATTTAATGGATGGAACATCGGCACCAACATCAACAACAACAATGACAACAAAATCGGCCACATCAAAACATCATACATCAATGGAAATTGATGATTCTGATAGTGAAAGTCAAGAAGATACTATTGATACAACAATATCATTGTCGGCAACACCAGATTCAACTACAACGACGACGACGACAACAACAACAACGCCAAAACCAGAATTATTCATTAATGATAATAATAATGATAATAAACAACAATGGAATAAACGTGAACATTCAACATCATCAACGAATAATCAATTATCGGCTATCAATTTATTTGATAATTCATCACCATCAAACATAGATATCGATTCGAATATTTCACAAGATCATATATCAAAAAATAGTATGAATAATAAACAAATGGATCTAAATGATCGTTTCTATTATTTTCTAATGAATAAATTGAAAAATCTAACCATTAATAATGGTGAAACAATGATGATGATGAATGATAATGATAATGGATTGAAAAAAAATTATGATAATAATTATTTAACAATGATTGATCAACAACAAACTAAATCGAAAACGGATATATCATCTAAACCATCATCAATGATTGAACAACAACATTATCAATCAGAAGCAATACCAATATCAAAACATCATCATCATCATCATTATGAAATTTATGATAAAGATTCATTAATAAATGAAAGAGATAATTCTATTATAATGGATTCAGCTTCCGTTACGGATAAAGATGCAAATGCATCGACAACATCATATCAATCAACATTAGAACCATTACTTTATCATTATACACCGGGTGCAAATAATACATGGCCACCGGAAAAAAGTCTTGGTATATTACCAATACTTATACAAATTGAGGATAAAAAATCTGATAATGAAAATGATAATCAAAATGATAATAATAATAATAATAATGGACAACAACAGCAACGAAATACGATTGATTATCGAAATAATAATAATAATAATAATAATAATGCTGTAATGCAAGATAGACTTTATGGACAACCATCATTGAATAATGATTGGTCACAACGTGATGCAAATAATCCAAATAATAACAATAATAATGGTGGTGGTGGTTTTTCAAATGCAAACAATAATAATCAATGGCCCATATCATCGAATAAACAACAACAACAACATCCAGCACGTAATATAATATTTCATAATAATAAACCAACATCATTGGCAATTAATCCAAGTGCATCGAATATTTATCCAGATTATCGTCATTATCAACATCCAAATACAAATTTAAATCGTTTACGTTTCAATCAATTTAGTAATGGTGGTATTGGTAGTACATCATACAATGTTGTTGATGATGAACGTTTTAATGAACATTTATTGAATATGATGAATGGTAATCCAATACAATCAAACAATAATGTACATCATCCAATTGGATTGAATAATAATAATAATAAACTATTGAATCCATTATATACAAGTGCATCTGATTCACATTTAAATTATTTTGGTCCAATGATTATTGGACAACAGCCAACAAAATCATCATTATTACCAACACCAACAGCATCATCAATACCGTTCACATCAACACCATCAATTATAAATGTAAATCATTTATTAGGTAATAATAATAATAATCTTAATTATCGTTTATTGGAATATTGGCTATTACGTAATCAGATGTCAAAATTACCGGCTATTAATCATTTAAATCGTATGAAAATTAATCAAGATTTTTTTACTGCAATGCAATCAAAATTAATGTCATCACCAAAATTAATGACATCATCATCGGCATCGACACCATTCGAATTGGAAAATATTTATTTTCAAAATGGTCCTGGTTATGCATATGGAAATTTTATGAAAATGCCGGATAAATATAGAGAAGCTATATTATCATCCAAATTATTGGGACAAACATCATCAGCATCAATAATAAATCCATTGGATGTATCAACCAAAGATTTAGCAACATTAGCAGCATTACTTTGGCAACAGCAACAACAACAACAATCAACAACAACAACTAATAATAACAATAATAATAATAATAAGGATGCAAACAACAACAACAATAATAATAATGAAAATAATAAAAATTCAATTAATAATAAAAAACGAACACGATCATCATTAAAAACGGCATTAGCAAAACAATTTTCATTAAGTGGATTAACATCATCATCATCGAGTAATTCGGCTGCTACTACTGGAACAATGACAAATACCGGTAATAATGATAAAAGAATGATGATTAAAGATGATTCAACAACAGCCGATAGTGGTAGTAGTTTATTGGACAAACGTAAAAAATCAAGAAGAAATTTAACAAAATTCGGTCTTTTTGGTTAAACAGAAACGGAATAGAAAAAACAAATTGAATACTTTTTCTCTCATCATATCATATATCAAGCCAATCAGATTATCGAAAGAAAACCGCATCAATCAATCGATCATTCGATTTGAGAATTCTTTTTTTTTCTCCAAAATTTTTAAATCTCAATCTCTTTATCATTACGTGTAATATTTTTTTTCTTTCTATAAATGATTAACCATCACACACATACACAAAAATATACAGTTCACATTTCAACAAATCAATTAACATAGATAATTTCAATTTTATTAACAACGAGAAAAAAAAACAAACAAATTTAAATAATTTATTTTTTAACTGAAACAAAAAAAAAAAAAAAAAAAAAAAATTAAAAAAAATTAAAAAGTCAATCATCACTCACACCCATNTTTTTTTCTTTCTATAAATGATTAACCATCACACACATACACAAAAATATACAGTTCACATTTCAACAAATCAATTAACATAGATAATTTCAATTTTATTAACAACAAAAAAAAAAAAAAAAAAAAAAAAATTTAAATAATTTATTTTTTGACTGAAAAAAAAAAAAAAAAAAAAAAAAGAATTCAATAAAATTCAAAAGTCAATCATCACTCACACCCATTAGGCACACTAATGATTTTTTTTTTTGAAAATTCAAATTAAATAAAATAAAAATTTTTTTTTGTTGAAATTAATTGATTGATTGATTGATTTTGCTTTCCATTCAATCGAAATGACAATCATAATATTTTGGTGTTTCTATTTTGGATAATAATAATAATAAAAAAACGATGTTGAAAGTGATGATCCAAAAGACCACCCTGTGTAATGATGATGATGTGATGGGTGATTGTGCCACACACACAATGGAAATTATTTCTGGCTTTTTTGACTGATTTGAATCATGATTTTCATTAAATTTTAATTTGAAATTTATTTTAGATTTTTTTGTTTTCATTTAGTTTTTTTTCCGATAATTATTTTAAACAAATTTTTTTAAAAACCATCACGAAAAAAGTATTAATAGCAAAAAAATTGATTTTAAAGAAAAATTTTTTTATTATGAAACTATCATTGAAAATATAAACGAGGTTATTATTCATTGTGTTGAAAATAATTGTTGTAAAATAATTTGTTTGATATTTGATTTGATTTGTTTTGAAATGTAATCATTTTCATTTTCATTCAACAAAAACATCGGAAAATGCTAATGCAGTAACAGCTTTTTGATGGCCACTAAATTCTCGTGTCATTTGACCACTATAAACTGACCATAATCGTACATAATGATCGGATGATGCTAGGAAAAAAAGTTTCAATTAAAAAAAATAAATCTATTGATATTCAAAGCACACATACCAGTGAAAACATATTGTGAATCAGCTGAAAATGCAAGATCCCAAACCCATCTTTGATTCGTTCGTTTAAGCATCTGAAATGGTGTTATCTGTTCAGTTAATGACCATTCATTTTTCTGTTTTTTCTTCACTGCTGTTCGTTCATTATTATCATATAATTCACCACCACCATTTTCATATTGATCATTATCATTAAAATTATTATCATTATTTAGAAAATTTGGCAAATTTAGACCATTATTTTTATCTCTTTTGAAACAATCACATGAACAACAACAATCAACATTCTGTTGTTGTTGTTGTTGTGAATTTGTTAATGATTTTTTCTTCATTCTTCCAATATAATTTTTTTTATTATTTTCAATTGTTATCGGTTGAACAATATCACCAATACCATCATCTAAATCATCATCATCATCATCATCATCCGAGGTTTTAATTTCAATCGAATTAATATGTCCATTTTCAGTTTGTAGATTATCATTTTCATCATCTGATTCATCATCATCATCATCAAAATCACTATCGACTAGTTTTAATTCTTTAATTATACGTAAAAATTCTTCATCTTCTTGTTGTTCCAATGTAAATATATCGTTATTATGTGTTGTTTGACCACCATTTTGTAAACTAAGACCTTCCAATTTATTATACAATTCATTATAATTATTATCCAAATATTTGGTATAAACTGATTGATATAAATTATTTCCATTGAATTGTGAATGATGAAAATGATGATGATGGTGGTGATGATGATCATGTTGCTGTTGTTGTTGAGAACTATTACGGTCATTTTTATCGAATTGTTTTGAATCATTCAATGCAGATTGTAATATATTAAAACTGTTAATCGATCGATTACGATAACCATTGGTCAAAGTAGAACAACGTGCACATCCATTAACACTTGATCGACCACCATTATGATTATTGTTTACATATTTACAACATGTATTTCGATTACTTGCATCACATGAATGATTATGACGACGTCGTTTCAGATAACAACGTGGTGGTTTTTGTGGTTGAATCTTTTTCCATGGAAATAATCTTGCAAGAAATGGTGCGCCTAACATTGCTAAAGCAGCCGGATCACCAGCAGCCGCATCATCGGTATTTCGCCATAGATCTTTACAACGCAAAAAATGTTCATATGCACCTGCATTTGTTTGTGATTTAGGTTTTTGATTTGCTTTAGTCTCTGATGGATCATCGATTTGAATGGTATTTGTTGAATTTACAATTGATAGATCGGATGTACGCCAAAATTTTACAGTAGTATCGGCCGATGTTGTTGCCAATAATGTTGAATCGGGTGAAAAACAGCATTTAAGACCATATTTATCATGTGCTTGAAATATAAGCCTACGATGTAGATAACCACTAGCGGTCATTTCACCATTTTTTTCTTCAAGCATTTCTGGTGGAAGAAAACTTGTATTACGAAATATATAACATTTACCTAATGTATCGATAGCCGCCAATAATCGACATTCTTTATCATAGGCAATATGTTGAATAAAACCATCATTAGTAACAAATAAACGTTGTAATTGATCATTTTGTAGATTCCATATCCAAATCGAACCACTTTGATCAGCTATATAGATTTCAATTTCGTTTGGATGTAAAAACAATGAATTGATCGGTGTCTTTAGGCCACAATGTCTTTGACATGTTAATCTTCGTGAACGTGTATCCCATATACGTGCATAAAAATCTTCACCACCCGTATACATAAATGTAGTGCTTGGACTAAATCCAATGCTTGAGACATTCCTTTCAACAAAACCAAACACAAAACAAATTAGCGACCAAATAAAATGATATAACATATTGATATGATTGACTTACTTAGAAATACCTTCAAAATTAATCAACGGTGTATTCGCATTCGATTGAACATCATATAAACGAATATGCTGAAAACCAGCCGATGCTAATAGCTCACGATTGGGCGTTATAGCTAATGCATTTACATGTGAATTATCCGTATTCTGTATAAATTTATCACAAAAACCTTTATCAACATTCCACATACGAATAGTATTATCATAACCACCGGATGCTAATATTAATTGATTTGTTGGCTGAAAATTCTGTGCAGCCGTTTGATGTTGTTGTATCATTTGTTGATACGTATGACGTGTATCGATTTTTTGCATGATTAATTTTTGTTATTGTTTTTTGTGTTGATTCTATTCAAAAACAAATCAATCATGTATCTAATCATTTCATTATTTATGAAAAAATCAAAATTTTCTTAGAAATAAATAGATGTAAAATGAACAAAAATGTAAACAAGAATTTTTTTACGAACGAAAAAAAGAAAAAAACAACGTTGATTCGATTACTACCACTACTACTACAAACATGATATACGTTAGTACAAAACGTATAATCCAAATAATGTTCTGGTCACAATAGATATTTGTCAACACTGGAAATTGGATTTTTTCGGGTTAATATATCATTACGAATTACATTCTGACTACGCATTTATGATTGAAAAAAGAATTTGTTTTTCATAAACATTGTTACAATGATAGAAGCATTGTTTTATGTGTTTAACAAAAAAAAAATTTCGAACAAACATCATTATCCTCATCATATCGAAAATTGATTTGGGCTTTTTGCCAAACAACAACAACATTTTCTTGATTGAATGATCGTCATCATTTCATCACTGACTCTTTTCTCCACTATTTTTTCTGCTCTTTTTCCACTATTTATCATCTATCAAAAACAAACAAGGAAAACACACATCCATACCGGATTCGAATATTAAAGTTTTACATTGAAAATAAGAAAATCCGATTAGAATCTCATATTCCCAGATACTTAAAATTTTCTATTTTGTCTGTAAGTTTTTATTTATTTATCTTGTTTTAATCAAAATTACATGGCATCATATTTTTTCACAACATTTTCAATCAATCATTAGCAAGTTTTGGTACTATTGAACCTATCAGAATAACAAGAAAATAAAATTTCTAACAAATTTCACTCTATCTTTGGAACCGCAAGAAATCCATAATTATCATTAACCATGTCACTTCAATGGACATTGATTGCCACATTTCTTTACATAGAAATTGCCTTGATCGTTTTAATGTTATTGTCAATCATTAGACCACGATTGTAAGTTATTTGTAATTATATTTTATATTTTCTTTGATTAATTTCCTAATTCTCTATTAGTTGGCGTTCATTTTTTCAATCACGTTTTATGAAGGCAGTGGCGGCGCAATCCAATCTTTATCTTGTTGCATTTATCGGTGTTTTGCTCTTGTTTTTCGTTGGTAATTTTCTAGCTTTTATTTTTTTGTAAATTTGAAAATTATCAAACAATTTTTTCTTCCATAACTTATTATAGAATCCGTTCGTGAATTTCACAAATATTCAAGTAAATTGAATACAAATGATCGTATGTATGTTGGATCATCAGCTTTCTATGAAGACCAGATGCGTGTATTTCGTGGACAACGAAATTTTTATATATCTGGTTTTGCATTACTCTGTGTATTCATCATAAAACGTTTGATACGATTGTTAGGTGAAATGGCACAATTGAAAGCCGATTCTGAAGCATCGATACGTCAAGCACGTAATGCAGCTGAATTGGCTAGCCAAACATTATCCGCTTCAACATCTTCATCAAAAAGTTCATTATCGGGTGATAAAAATGATCAGATTCCATTGGAAAAGGAAAATGCTGCATTGAAAGAAACAATTGAAGAATTAGAGAAAAAATTGAAAAAAGCACAAACAGATCTAAAAGCAATGGAACGACAATCGGTTAATACAAATAAAGCATTCGATGAAATGGCCGAAAAATTGGCACGTTATGAGGTATGAATAAAAAACATTTCAAAATCTCAAAGTATCCAAATATAATATTAATAAATTTTTTTTCTTACTTACAGAAATCATCCGATTCACGTAAAGATAAATAAATAAAAATTCACTGATATCATTCTGATTTGTTTTTTTACTCTTTGTTTTAATAATTGAAAACAAAAAACAATTCAATGACAGATTTAAAATTTTCATGATAATAATAAAATGTGTAAAAAAACGTTTTGACCAACTGATTTTGTTTTGCGACAAAAAAATTGTGACCATCTATGGTTCTCAAAAAAGAAAAATCCGTATTTGAACCAAACCCCTAGCTTGACTAGATCGGGTAGAACTATAAAACAGACAGTCAAATTTATCAAGGGGCGGACGAAATTCATAAGTGTGTGTGTGGTACGTATCAATTTTTAGGTGCGGCAAATGTCACCAAAAACAAAAAAGTTGTGACATGAGGGTTTCACATACAAACTAACTACATAGGGTGACAGTGTTACATACCATACAATATGGTTTAGTTTTTAGTCAAATGTTATTATACCATTTTGTTTGCGATATTAATGAAAACACACCACCATTATGTTCAATTGAATTGAATTGAATAAAATGATTTCAATCAAAATTTTTTTTTGCTTTTTGGTGGATCGCGGCTATAAACGCTATACGGATAAATATGGTTAGCTTTAGAATAATGAAAATAAATGGGGGCCCTAGGTTTTTATTTGTATGGGCTTTACTAAACAACAAGCCAAAAAAAAACAATTTAAACTGAAGAACAAAGCAACAACAACAACAACAAAAAGGGAAAAAGTAAATGAAAAAAAGCCAAAAAGTAAAATCGTCAAACAGTCAGTCATTCAGTCATCAGTCACTTATACAGAGATACTGACAACACAAACGTACCCGCTACTTAGGACATTTGTCATCACAACTTTTACGAGATGATCATTTAAAATTGAATCTTTTAAATTTGTAAATTTTTCAAAAATAAAATTCACATGACATTTATCAAATTCGATATTGATTCATTATCATCGTCATCATCATCATTATCATTAAAAATGGATTTAGATTCTTGTTCCATTGATTCACGTTCTAGATCACCAATTATTATTGGTAACAATAATAATTCTTCATCATTATTAATGGCTGCACAACAACAAAATTCAGCAACATCCGGTCGAATATTATTAAATATTCCATGTAAAGTTTGTCATGATTATTCATCAGGAAAACATTATGGAATATTTGCTTGTGATGGTTGTGCAGGTTTTTTCAAAGTAAATTTCCTTTTTTTTGAAACTTTTTTCTCAATAAACTTATAGAATTTTTCAATTTTAAATTAAATTAATTGTTCTTTTTTTTTGATTAACAAAAAATTAAAACAGCGATCGATACGTCGTAATCGTCAATATATATGTAAAGCACGTGGTTCTTCAGCCAATCGATGTTTGGTAGATAAAACACATCGTAATCAATGTCGTGCATGTCGTTTGAAAAAATGTCTTCGTGAAGGAATGAATAAAGATGCTGTACAAGAAGAACGTGGTCCACGAAATTCAACATTACGGCGACAAGTTGCATTGAACATGTGTGCAGCACAAACATCAAGTTATGCTGCAGCCGCAGCATTAGCTGCTGCTGCATATGCTGGTCATCATCATCATCATCATCATCATCCGTTTTCACATTCAACAACATCAACATTTCCATATCCACAATCATCATCGACAACAGTGGCCGCACCAGCAACAACAACAACAACTACATTTCCATTTCAATCATCTGCGTCCGCATCTGCATTTGGTCCACCATCATTACAATCATCATCATCATCATCTGCATCATCATCATTTTTTCCTTTAATTCCTAATTATAGCGTTAATAATCATTCATCATCATTACCTCATCATCATCATCATCATCAGCCAAATATTAAAACAACATTTGATCCATCGGATTATATACGATTTTCAGCAGCTGCTACTATGAATAATCGAAATCCCAGTCATAATAATGATCAACAACAATCACCAAATCATAAAGAATCGGAAATAAAAAATGAAATTATTTCAATTGTTAATAATGATGATACGGATGATGAAAATATAAACAATAATGATAATGATGATAATGATAATGGTGATAATAATAAACCAAAACGAAAAAATCAACGTGGAAGAAAATCAATAAAACATCATTTGACAAATGATAAACAATTGTTTTGTTCAACAAAACGATCTCCAACGATTATCAAAGTAAATTGCAAAACTAACAAACATTCAACATCCAAAAATAATGGTATTAAACATGAGAAAAATATTTTACATCTTGGATCATCATCATCATTGTCATCTGCATCACCTTCCTCATCCTCATCATCATCATCATCATTATCATCAAGATCTTCATCATCATCACCATTATCAAAGAATACTATCGAAACGAACAATACGACGACAACAACGAACACAACCGCTACAACAACAAATAATCATCATCATTATCAATCATCGATTAATTCGGATCATTACTATAATAGTATATCGAATTATTATCATCGTCTTTTGTTCGATACATTCGCAAATCGTATGACAACAAAATCAACAACAGAATTTCCTTCAACATCATCATCATCAACAATGATTCTACCACAATCACAATCCTCATTGAATACAAATTTAGATCATTTTCTATTTAATTTATATCAAAATCGTCATCTTTCTGGTGGTCATGGTCATCCATTATTTTATCATCATCATCCATTTTCAATGGCCAATCATTCATCGACATCAACATCAACAACGACATCCACTCCAGCTCAAAGATCAACAATTTTACATAATAATTTTCTTTATCCACCTCCATTACCACAACTACAATCATCAACATCATTACCACCATTATTATCATCTGCAAATAATTATTTTCAAAATCTATATCATCCACATTCATATACGGCAGCTGCATTTACGTTACCACCGCCACCACCATCATCATCAACATTGTTACCATTATCGTCAACATTACCGGCAAGAACAACAACAACATCGACAATTAATACATCAAAATCATCAATACTACCGGTTATAACATCACAACAACAACAACAACAATCAACATCATCATCATCAACAATAACAACAACATTGGAAACAACACCACCACCGCCAATGATAAATCCAAAATCAATATTAAAATCGAATCAATCAAATGATTTAATCAATAATAATAATGATGATAATATTGATAATGATCATAATGATCATAATGATGATCAAACAACGACAACAAAATTATTGTTTCAAAATTTTCCTTGGTTTACGGCTGCGGCAGCTGCAGCTGCTGCTGCGGCAGCCGCTGCTTCTCAAATTAATACAACCAAAAATAAATCCGAATTAGATAAAGATAATAATACAGTAGTTGCTGCATCATCAACCGATCAACGTTTATCGATTACAATGGATTGAAAAAAAAAACGAAAAATCAATTAAATTCTTTTGCCGTTATTATTATTATTATTTTTACAAATTGTAAATAAAAGATTTTATTGTCTAAATAAAGAAAATGTAATAAATTATTTCAGAGTTTGTCAATCATTTCAAAAAAAAAACAATTTTGATTGATTGATTGATTGATCGGAATTAATAATAATAATTGATATATATAGTCATCATTGTCGGTCTCTTAGTTTGTCAAACGCACACACAAACACATATTTTGTGCAAACAATAACCGATATAATTTGATGACAAATTGACACTTTTGAATATATGAATTGTGAATTGAATTGAATGACGTTGTTTTGAAAAAAAGGTGACAAAAAAAACGCTTTTGAACAAAAAGAAAAAAAAATAAGTGTTTCTGGTTAGTAAAACGAAACAAAAATACAAACAAATTATATCCGAGCAAAACATACATATTGAATTCAATTGAATAGGTCCATGTGTGTGTGTGTGTGTTTCAACAGTTTTGTTCAAAGCAAAATTGAAAAAAATGGAAATAAATCCTCCCGCCGAAAATGTAAAAAAAAACTATTACTGACGATGATGATGATGATGATGATATTCATCTAAAACACCGACCAATCAATTTTGAATAATAACAATCCAAAATCAATGGAGGGGGTAAAGCAACGATTTTATTGAAACTAATTTTCATCATCATCATCATCATCATTGATATCAATCAATTGATCTTCATAGTCAACTTTCACTCGCTATAATTGCTTCAACAAAAAAAAGAAACAGAAAATATAATCGCAATTCACACCATTTGAAAATTCATATATTCAACATTCTCTCCCCTCACAAAATTGCTGAATATGATAGGCTCTTATTGAATTGATCATGAAACATTTTTTTTCTTCTTCTTTTTCACTGTGATTCGATTCAATACTTTTTTTTTGTTCAAAATATTTAGTTTGATTGTTGATATGTTTGAAAGAGAGTGTGCAAACACACACACACACACTCCAGATTATGATATTTCAATTTTTTTTAATAAATTCTATTCTAACAACACAGTGATTATTGTATTTTTTTTTCTGGATTGGTGTATGTGGTGCGAATTTCTCATTCCATTTTTTTCGTTGATTCCCTATATATTGATCACAAGAGAGAGAGAGGTGTAAATAGAGTGGGAAGAGGCGATAATAATTTGTTTCTGGATCAATTTTTTTTTCGGTAGCCAAAATATATGTGACAACAACACCAATTGTGATATGTGATATTTTTTTTTCGTTTTTTGAAAACCATATCGCGCAAGCTATATTATAGCTTGCGTAGATTTCTTTTTTTTTCTGATTATAAACGCAATAATAGATGAAATGAATCGATATACTTGAACAAGAAGATCAAATTTTCATATATATATAAATGATGATTGACACGTTTTTTTAGTTTTTTTGATGAATATGTATCGAGGATAAAATGAATCAAAAAAAAAACAAAACAAAAAAATTTGATGGATAATAGAACTTGACTCATTCATTTTATATCACCGATATTGAAATTATTATCACACATCTTGGTATGCGTGTGTGTGTGATATATATCCGAAACATATGCCCTTTGAAATACTTTTTTCCCGGCTTTTTGGCTGGATAATCAACGGTAATGATGATGATGATTTGTGTGGATCAACATTATATGATCACTACTTTACAAACTTGTCCTTTTTTTAAAAAACATAGCTTAGTGCCAGAATAATCAACAACAACACAATTAGATCGAGAAATTGAACCAAAAATTTTAATGAATTTGGTGATGATGTTGATGATGGAAATAAAAGAAAGGCAAAAAAAAAAAACTTTTTGTTGTTGCTGTTAAATCATCATAATGATTGTTATCGATCAGTTTTTTTTCTGCAAATCTAAACGTTTTATTTGTTTGATCATATAATGATGAATCAAATCCAAGGGAGATTTTTTTTTGTTGTTGTTGTTGTTGTCAAAATTCATTCGAAAGGAAAAATATAAGGCAAAAAAGAAAAGTTATAAATATGTTGTGGTGTTTTTGATTCGATCCAAAGAGAACAATGATAATGACAATCGTTTGAATTTTAGCAATTCCATACAATTTGTTAATATTTGGGAATTTTTTTCTCCCCCGTTCCCGTATAATTACACAATCATCATAATCAGTAGTTTTTTTGTTGTTGTATGAACCATCACATCTTTATCAATCAAATCGATCAATGATTTATCATTAGCACGCATTTTTTTTTGTTTTGATTCTATCCATACATTGATAATGTTTTCCGATCACCAGTTTTTTTTCATTCGAAACGTGTATAGCTGTCAAAAAGTATTTCATTCATTTCATTTTTTTTTTGTTTTGTTTTCATCAACATTTGTTAAGTGGTTTTTTTTCTTTCAATTCAAATCTGAATGATTTTTTTTTGGATACATAATATAAAACAGTATAGACAAATTTAGCTAGCTTTCCTGCAAAAAAGTTTCCTGCTACGCAAGTTTGTTTTCTGCCCTATATCTATCATCAATCTGTATATCAATATGGCTATCACATTACAACGGAAAATCCTTGGTCATGTTTCTATTTATTTCATTCTACATCCATTCTATTCAACATGAACATAATTTCAAAACCAAAAGAAAAAAATCGTTAAACGCTTATGTGTTACAGATGGGTTTTAGCGTTGAAAGGTGAAATAGGCAAATAAAAATGTGTAAAATGTCACGCCATTTGTTCATGTAAACAAAAAGCCATGTTTGTGCGTGAACATTGAGAGAAAAAAACCCTATAAATCGAAAGCTTGCACGATCGATCGTTTTTTAATTCAACCTTGATTTTATTTATATTAAAAAAAAAATTTAATTTTAAAAATCTTAAACGATTCAATTCAAATCGATCAAGAAAAAAAAACACAGCATACATAAATGGCAATTCGTTTAATGAAAACAACAACAACAACAAAATATATTTAACGAATTAAAAGATCAAAATAATTTTTTTTCATTTAAACCAAAGAAAATATTCAAATATACCTTCTGCTTTTTTATATTCAACTTCTTATTTTCCATTTCAATTTCCATCTGATTGATTTCAAACAAACAAAAAAAAAATTTTACATATACACAATACCTACTTTTGTTTTGGTATACAATGTGAAAACATTTGCAAATCAAAATTGGTTTGAGCTAATTTTCTTTTTCTTTTTTTTTAAATGCTAAGGTTTTGAAAATTGATTGAGAAATTCATGGGAAAACTAAAACCAAAACCAAAAAAAAAGTCAAAAGTGAATCTTCTTTTTTTTCCAGGGGGTTAATCATTTATGACAAACAAAACAAAACAGAACAGTGAAAGACACAAAGAATTCATTCAGAAAAAAAAATGAATTTATGAATGAATGAAAATAATAAACATAGAATTTAAGGTGTTTTCTTATCTTTCTAAAGAATTTTACTTTGACTTTTTGGCCATTCATTTTCTCCCAAAGAAAAAAAAAAGAATGCTATCTTGTCCAATAATCAATTGTTAAGGATCATCATAATGACCGTTTATATTTGAAAATATATTTAGAAAATTGAAAATACTAATTTGTAATTAGTTATTCTTTCTTTTGCTAAAGAAAGTGACATTCAACAACAACAAAAAAAAATAGTCAACGTAAATCACAATCCCAGGTAACTTACTTAAAGCGTAAGAATTATATTTTCAACAACAACAAAAAAAATCTCATAGTGTGCCATTTGGAAAAAAACACACACAAAACAAAACAAATATTATTACAATGAATGAATGAATGAACGAGAAACTTAATGACAATAAGATTGAATTGAATAGTTAATTGATTTTCGATAAAACGAATGAACCCTTTTCTTGTGTCTAAATATTAAACGAAAGAAGAAACGAGTCCAAAAAAAAACCGGTCAAATACTAATCAAGTGTCATTTGAAAATAGACTTTGATATAATAATATTCATATCAATTATGTTTTTGGTCATAACAATCATTGATGATTGAATGAATGATAATGGTTATGATATATCGTTGAAAATTGTTCATTTTTCAAAATCAGAAGAATTCATTTAAAGAAAAGAAAAAGATTATTATTTTTTTTTGTTTGAAAACTATTTAAAGGATTTAGATTTTTTTTCAATCTAAAATTCAATATGAAGTGTTAAGTGATTTGGAAGGAAAAAAAATTTAAAAGTTAAAAAACTTTAAAATCATCAGATATTTTCATTTTTGAACAATGAAAATATTTTGTGGATGTTGTTGATCAATGACATATGGAAAACTGATTTTCTGATTTTGTCTATGGTGGTCAAATTACATTTTTCTTTCTTCTGATTTTATGTTCCAGGAAAAAAATTGTTGTTTCCGAAAAATTTCTTTATACCCGATTTTGTTGAATATTTTTTCCTTTTCACCGTTGTCATAGGAAATCACATAGATTTGTATTGATTGATAAGACCAAAAAAGGAAAAATTGTCGTCGTCGTCGTCGTTGTCGTCATTGTAGATAAGTTTCTTATCTTAACAACAACAACAAAATTCATTTATTATAATAAATTTGGACCACTTGAACTGAACAAAAAAAAAAATGAAATTGGCCACAAAATTACAACTATACAGGTAGACAATTGATTTTGTTATTGATTAAGATCAATTGCTTTGAATCTTTGAATGCAATGATCAACAACAATCCTAAAATCCTTATTGAAAAATGACACTTGAAAAGATTTTTTTTTATTATTATTTCTGTTTTAAATATAAAAATTATTGATCATCATCATCAAAAAAACAGGAGAATAAATCAGTCATTCAGTCAAAATGAAAAATAAGTCAGTTCATTTTTTTTCATCTTCTTCTTCCTCTTTGTTCGATTCAGATCAATCGAAATAAAATGACATTTTTGTTGTTGTTGATTTGAGAAAATTTTTCTAAAAAATAAAAATACAGAATTTTTCCCAAAAACTTTCTACTAAATCCAAATTTGTTTTTGTTGAATAAAATTAGCAAGTTTTCTTTTCTTTTCACTGTCACCTTTTTTTTCAATTTGCATTTTAATTTGTTTCACACACACACACACACACAATCAATACAAATAACAAAAAAAAATATCGATCGTTTAAAATTTTAAGCAGGATTTAAGGTTAGAGGAATAGTTTAGTTTTTATTTTTTTGGTTATCAAAATCACAATTATTATGTTAATCGTTTACCCCTGCAGGGTTATCAACTTTATTCATTCACATAAACACACACTACCAACAATACTATGACTTGATAAAAATGACTTGTGAATGACTTGATCGAATGCTCGTAATTTTTTTTCACAGTACTGCAGTAAAACGATCCAAAATGAATAGGAAAAAAAAAATTTGAGGATTAAAATTTTCTTCTTTTTCAATTAACAAAACTTGGTTCATTTATATCCAAAAAAAAAAGTTGGCAAAACATTTGGCAGAGAGAAAAAAAAATGTGTGAAATGATGAAGAAAGAGGCTATAAAGTTTAGTTTTGTATTTATAATACCGTAATTTCATGCCTATATTTGATTCATATTCGAATGTGCAAATCTATCATCAAAAAAAGAGATTGAATTTTATTTTCAATTTACCGAAATAATTACCGATTTAATTCAATGAATGAATGGATGGATTGGAAGTTTTATTTTATTTTTTTTTTTGGTGAAAACCAGACCAGACTGACTTAGTTATTGTGGTCAATCTAATCTGATATTTTGACAGTTTATCAGCAGACAACAATCATCTAAACAAAGTGACGGTTACATAAAATAAAGTCATTCATTTATTTACCGGAAATTTTACCGGAACATTTTTTATTTATATTTACTTAACGTTTATCTATTCTATCTATCATTGAAAAGAATTTTTGCCGTCATTGTCGTTATTACTTTGTTCTTATTCCGCTAAAAGAATCATTATTATCGATCAATCAATCAATCAATCAATCAGTTCATTCAATCATTCAGTCAGTCAGTCAGTCAGTCAGTCAGTAGCTAGACCAAAAAAAAAAAGAAAAAAAAAACATAATGTAGATGATTTGATTGTTTTGAAGCACCACCACCACCACCACAACAACAACAACATTGATTGAGACAATAGAATATCGTAATGTGGTAGACAAAGAGTTGCGGAAAAAAAGCGGTATATTTCTAGGCAAAAAATCGAATGTTTTTGAATTCAAAAATAATGAAAAAAAGGTTCGAAACCCGAAGAACCCGTGAACAACAACAACAACAACAACAAAAATTGTGACCAGAAACACTCTTTTGAAAATAAAAATAGAAGGCACTTTAGAAAAAAAAAATTTGTTATGTATTTGTCATTCTCAAAAATCATCATCATCATCAAAATCCAAATAATCGAGTGGTTGACAAATTGCAATTTCTTTTACTTTTTTTCCTTTCTTTTTTGTGAATTGATTTTCGATCAAAACATGAATGAATTGGTGAAGAAAAAAAAACCGCAAACCCTTTTTTTGTCAAAAAAACGATGACAACAATTTTTACCCTCATATACCCCCGACCAACCAATCGATGTCGATATAGGACAAAGATAAATGCACCATTTTTTTTTCTTATCCTATTTCTATTGATCAACTTAACCAATCGTGAAAAAAAACTGCCGCCAATCTATTTATGAATGTAAAATGTTTGATTTGCCGACCATTTTGCCCCTTTTTTTTTCTACATTTTGTTGATCATCTGAATATATTTTTGTCACGTTAAACTGAAAACTGAAATCGGAGAACTTAACCGTTCCAAAGAAACAAAAAAAACATGAAAAAACCAAATTGATTCAACCCAAACACACTGATTTGTGAATGAATTGAATGACTTGAATGATATTACTGACTGACTGACTGTATGACTGTATGACTGAGAATGACAATGTCACACCAAAAAACAGTCAATATTTTTTTATTCCATTGTCAACTGGATTTTTTTCAAACCAAGTCTATCAAAAAAAATCATTCAGTCAGTCATTTCTTTCGTCAAATTTGTCAAATTTTTAAAAATTTGAAGAAAAAAAAAATGAAAATGGTCCAAAAAGGAGGAGCAGCAGTATGTTGTTGTCGGCATTTTATATAAGAAATCTAAGGAACCTGATGACAACAACAACAGTAACAAAAATCTTTATAGTTTGAAATTGAAATTGTAGAGAAAAAAAATCCAAAATACAGTAGCATTAGCTACTTGCATTTGTTTTTTTTCGGATTTCATTTCAGGGGTCTTGATTTTCATTCAATCAAAATCAATGGATCAATCGATCGATCGATTGATTTTGATCAATATTTTTGTCTGCCATTTCTCTCTCTTTTTCTTTTCTTTTTTCTTTTTTTTTTGATCTACTATCGATCAAAATCGATTGATGAGTACCAACGACAACAATCACGAATGATTGATTCACACTATACCATATATTGCCATCGATAAATATTTTGTCCATTTTGATGATGATGTCGAGAGAAGAAAGAAATTTCCATTCAAATGATTTTCTTTTCATTCGTTTTTTTTATTCATAAACGTCAGAGACTTAGCGACTTTCTTTTCGGGTATTTTATATTTTTGATTTCAAAGCCAAAATCATCGGTATGTTGTCGGTTTATCAAGACAAAATGTTTTTTTATTTAAAGAAAAAAATTTTAAGTAATTTTTCTTTTTTTTTCTTTTTCAATTGAAAATAGAGAAAAACTTTGATTGATTGATTGATTAAAAAATATTTTCATTGTCAATGACAGAAAAAAAAGGTCAAAGGTTTTTCTGATTTGTTTTGATCATCATCATCATCATCATCATTTTGATAATTGACATAAATCAAATGTTTGTCTAAGAATTGTTTCAATTTCTTTTCTATGTATGGCAGTTAAACCTACAGCCGGTGCTTCTAAATGTCCACGACCAACATATTGTAATTTTGATTGATGTAAAATATTTCGAAAACGTGGCTGAATAAATGTCCATGCACCCATATTACGATGTTCTTCTTGGCTCCATATAAGATCTATATTTAATAATTAAATGGATAATATTAATGATGATAAATCAAATCAATATATGCTTACTTTTTGCATTTGGATAACGTTTTAGAATGGAAATTAGTTCAGCGGCTGGAAATGGACATAATTCTTCAATACGAACAATAGCAATTGATGATAATTTATTTGGATCATTACCGAATAGATTTTGTCGTTGTTGTTCCAATAAATAATAATGTTTACCCGAACAGAAAATTATTGATTTAACATTTGGAATTGATTTTGTCGTATCGATAGGATCATTCTGAAAACAATGTGTAGGTGAATAATGTATAGGATCATCCAATACTGAAACAAAATGTGATCTTTCTAATGAAAAATCTTCAATATTTGATTGACAACGTGGATGACGAAGTAGCATTTTCGGTCCCATTACAACTAATGGTTTACGATATGGACGTATCATTTGTCGTCGTAATGAATGAAAATATTGTGCCGGTGTTGTTGGATATATTATCGACCAATTAATGTTATCCGAATCGATTTCTGTTTCCGATGAATTACAAAGCTGTAAAAATCTTTCTAATCGAGCTGAAGTATGTTCTGGTCCTGTAAAAATTAATTAAAATTAATAAATTTTGGAATGAAATAAAATCTAAACTAACCAGCTCCATCATAACCATTGGGTAATAATAATGTTAATGAACTTTGTAATAGCCATTTGCCTTCACCACTTGAAACAAGTGTATCAATAATTGATTGAGCACAATTGAAAAAATCTCCAAATTGTGCTTCCCAAATGGCCAATACGTTTGAAGTGGACAAACTAAAACCATATTCATAAGCCATAACAGCCGCTTCGGAAAGAATTGAATTACAAACTTCAAGCTGACCAATATGATCATTTTTCCATGGTAAATAATTTTGATGTTCATCAGCTAGATTATTCAATGGAATATGAACATCATTGGTCAATTGATCAACAATCATACAATGTCGTTGACTAAATGTACCACGGCCAACATCCTGGCCAGATATTCGTACATCATATCCTTGATATAATAATGAACCGAATGCAAGCGTTTCAGCTAATGCCCAATCAAAATTTTTACCCGAATTAAATCTAGCTGAACGATCATCAAAAACTTTTTTCAATGTTTTATGCAGATTCCAATCATTAGGTGATTGTGTTGTAACACGACCAATATGTTTTAATATTGAATCAGGTACAGATGTATCCCATTTAGTTATATGATCACTACTTGGCCATTGTATATTTTTCCATTCGCTTTTTTCATTCGATATGATCATTGATACTGATGGTGGTTTATATTGATTCATTCGTCCTAATGATTCATTAAGCATCTGATTATATGCATCAATAATTTCACCAATCTTTTCATCGGTCATATTGATCTTTTTAGCAAACGAATGTGGAATCGATTTTCTTGATTGAATTTTTTCATACATTCGTGGATTAGTGAATGTTGGATCATCCAATTCATTATGTCCCCAACGACGAAAACAAACAAGATTGATTGCAATATCTTTACCATATGTTTGTCGATAATTATAGGCTAAACGTGCTGCACGTGCAACTAAATCTGGATGTTCACCATTAACATGAATCACTGGTGCATGAATCATTTTTACTGGATCCGTACAATATAATGATGAACGTGATTGATGCATACGGCTAGGAGTTGTATAGCCAACCTGATTATTAACCACTAGATGTATTGATCCATTTGTGGAATAATGTTCAACATTTGCTAATGCTAATGTTTCCATTATGATACCTTGTCCGGTAAATGATGCATCACCATGTATTTGTAATGGTAAAATATTTGATAAAATTGATTTTTTATCCGAATATGAATATGGTCCAATACGTTTAGCCATCATCTGACCACGACTATAGCCACAGACTACCGGTGCTACAACTTCCAGATGTGATGGATTTGGTAATAATGTTGCCATTAGATTTTTATCCAATTCAATTTGCGTATAAAGATGTGAAAGAACATCACCAATTATCATTGATTTACGATTTTGTTGAAAATCAAATTCTTCACCACCAGATAGTTTATGAAATAATGCTTCGATTGGATATTGTAATTTATTTACTAATAAATTTAAACGACCACGATGTGGCATTCCAATAACAATTTCATTAATATTATCATCTTCATTATGATTTTGTCGTAATAATCGTAATAGTTCATCAACAAATATAATCATTGTTTCTGCACCTTCACAACCATAACGTTTTATTGATTGAAATTTTCGAGCAAGAAAATGATCCAATGCTTCAGTTATTAATAAATCTTTTGCCACCGTTTCAGGATTATCAAATTGTAATTGATTTTTATGTTCATTTTCGATTTGTTGTTCAAACCAATTTTGTTCATCCAATGATAATAAATGTTTGAATTCAAAACCAATCAATCCACAATACAAATCAAATTGATGAAGAATGAAATCTTTTTTATCTATTGATGATATGGTTGATTCTTGTTCAATAAATTTATCTAGATTAACACCTAGAACGGGACTTAATTTCTGTGAAAATTGATGAAAATTATTGGCAATGTTGTTGACGTGTTCATTATTAATAAAATTTGCTAATGATAATGGATCTAATTGACAGAAAAGATGACCACGTTTTTGAAATGCTTGTTTCACTAATTGATATGAAGCAGGTAATCGTTCATCATCATTATGTTGTGACCATTGATCAATATCTAAACGAAATGGATGTGTATTACCGAAAATACCTTTAACCGGATGATATAATCTTCTGGATATTTGAATAATAGATTTAGATGACAATGTTATCGATGATAATTGCAGCCACATTTTTTTGGATTTTTGTACAACAAACGAAACGAATAAAAACAATCAAAAACAACGAACAACCTTCACAATATATCACAAGTATATCAATGATCATCATCAATGATCAAGAAATGATCAGCTGATCATCATCATCATCTTTTTTTTAAAGACATTATTTATTATCAAAATCAAATGATGTTATCAGTATCTTTAACCAAAAGGAAAAAAAATAAGAAAAAGAAAATCTTTTCGATAAATTATTGACATAACGCCATCTTTCGTTAATCAATATTGTTACATTCATAATGGGATTATTCAACAAAAAAAAAAATACAATTTGGAAATTTCCCCTTCCTTGTTGTTTTATTTGGATGAAAATTTATTTAAAGTTCAAGGAAAAAAAATTACAAAACAAATGAATGACTTTCACCAAAACGAATATCAATCAAATCGGCCAATTTAAATGATCGATTTTATTGCAATCATTCATATCAATCGATGAAAGCAATGAAATATACAATCAAAAACAAAAACGTCAAAAAAAAATAACGACAATGAGATTAAATATTGAAAAAAAATCATCATCAACAACAACAACAAAAAAACCAAATTTTAAATAACGTAAAAAAATTTCAATTTCATTGAAATTTTAGCAACTCTAAAATTGTAGTAGGAATATGAATTTGGAGAGAGAGAAAACACGAAACAATGAAATTATCTGATATAATTTGCTATTTTGTAATACGTAAGCATCATGGAAAAATCAATAAATTTTTTTTGCTGCACCAAAAAAAATATTGAAAAAAATTAGGGGCAGGAAATCACAAGTTATTTAAATTTTTAAATCATTTTTGTTTCTGTTTTTTGACAAATATCAATATCCTGGATTTCCTGGCAATCATCAATCAATCAAATTTATAAATTTTGATTATTGGTTTGTTCGAATAATGTTGTACTTGTTAAATTGATAAATGGTCATTTGATGTTGTTTTTTTTTTTTTTTTTTTTTTTTTGTTTTTTTTAACCAAAAAAAAAAAAAAAGGGGAAAAAAAAAAAAAAAAATAAAAATTTTTTTTTTTGTTTTTTTGGAAAAATTTTTTTTTTTTTAAATTGAAAAATGGTTTTTTTTTTTTTTTTTTTTTTTTTTTTTTTTTTTTTTGGTTTTTTTCAACCAACAAAACAAAAAAAGTGGAAAAAAACAACAATAATTAGCAATTTTCATTTCATTTCAGTTGATTAGCTACGACGTTGTGATTGATTGATTGATTTTGTTTATTATTGTTTTTTATTACTTCGATCTAAATGATTCTGTGATCCAGATCTTGAAGAAAAAAAATGTTTTCCATCATCATAATCATCAATAATAATAATCAACATCATGATAGTAAAAACATTTTGAATAGAAAATCATTTATGAATAAAATGTTTATCATCGTAACAATATTGTTACTTATCAACAATGATTTATCAATGACAGAATCATTGGAATTACGTGCAAATTGTGGTTTTCCCGGTAAACCATATCGTTCGAAAATAATACCTGAAGAAAAATCTGTCTATGATGAAGGTGAAACAGTAAGATTTCAATGTAGTGATTATGAATCACCACCACAAATGCGTAAATGTGTAAATGGTGTTTGGGTTGGACCACCAGCACGTTGTGGTGATTTTGTTAATAATGTTGAACTTAATGATGCTAAATTATTAGATATGTCATTTGGTTTACCGATTGAAAAATTTCATTATCGTAATATAACTTTAACAAGTATGGATAAAAATTTTCCAAATTCATTTTTATCACATCGATATCCAAATCATCGTCTTCGTATTACAAATGATCATGAATTTATGTGGAAATTGAATTTTACTCGACCAGCAGTAAAATTATTTGTACGAGTGAATTTTAATTTTATTAATTTCACATTATTAGATCAAGCAATCAGAAATAATTTTTCCTTCTATATTGATGTTGAAATCAGTCCATATCGTACATGTAATCTTGATTATCAAAATAATAATGCATGGCGTGATAATGGTAATCGTATTGATTCATATTTTACATGTGAAGCACATTCCTATCAAGATCTACAACGTGATCTAGAGAATCCAAATAATTATATGATAATGCGAACAAAAAGTTCACATAATTTACCACATGAATTGGTGGCAATATTTTTTGGCACTGTTTATGGCAATGAAAGTGAACCAATTTGTGGTGAACCAGAAACCGATTTTGGACAAACATATCGTGTACGACAAGAACATCATGATTATATTATTGATTGTTTAGATAGTCATTGGAAAGATGTAACACCAAATACCTATAAACATTTTATTAATCATCAAAAATGTATTGGTGATATGATATGGAATGGTACAAAACCACGTTGTATACCTATACGTAATTGTCCTATACAAAAAATATTGAATAATAATCGAAGAAATTTTAATGAAAATGATTCGGAAAAAAATCCATTAGTTGTTGATGCTATACTTGGATATTATAATTTTATCGATAATCAAACAATCTATGCTATTGATGGTACAGAAATTGTTTATGGATGTGCATCAAATGATTATATCGTAGTGGGTAAAGATAAACGTACATGTAAACGTGATATGACATGGTCAGGTGTTGAACCAGTTTGTAAATGTAAGTTTTTTTTCAAACAATTTTTAATTTTATTAATCTAAAAAAAATTGTTCCATTCATTTTTCTTTTATATGAAGATATTAAACAAACAAATGAAGTTGTCGAATCATCAAACTATCTAGTTATAATCATTATTTTTATGGGAACATTATTATTTTTAATTATATTTGCATCAATTATATTGTTTTTATTCTATACAAAACATTTAAAGATAACAAAAAAAGATGATCAAAATAATGGTAATAGTAATGAATCATCAACACAAAATGAATGGCAAGGTGAAAATTATTATGATAATATTGAAATGAATTTTAATCATCAAACTGGATTAATTGGAATTGGATTGGGTGGTATTGGCCCAGGTAATACGGGTGTTGGTGTTGGTGTTGGCGGTGGTAAATCAAACGATATTTTCTATGATATCTATGAAACAGTCGATAGTAATAAAGGTGATAATAATAATAATAATAACACTACTGCCAATAATCTAATACGTTATGTTGAACCAAATCGATATTTTTTTGGTGATGGTGGTGGTGGTGGTGGTGCTGAACAATCATTATTAAATCATAATTTAAATATGAATAATCATCATAATAATCAAAAAGAAAATGATTATATACGTATGTATGGATCTGGATTTAAAGTAAATGAAACTGGTATTTTAACATCGTCAAACAATAATATTAACAACAACAATAACAACAATAACACTACTACATCAATCAATAATAATAATAATAATGGATCAAATACAACGATAACATCATCAACATTAACATCATCGACAATATTACCGAATACAGGAATGATCAATAATAATAGTGGTAATAATGGTAATACATCATCATCATCATCACCGATGCAACATCATTCAACATCAAATATACGATCATCATCATCAATACAATCGAAACAGATGAAAAATCGTGAACCATCATATCTGGAAGTGATGCAATGAAAAAAGGAAATAAAACAAAACAAAAAAAATGGCGCACACAAGAACAAACAAGAGAAAACATTTCATGTATTTTTTTTATATTCCAAAAATCAAAACACTCATCAACATTATCATTTTCATAATTTTTAAAATAATAATTCAATTTAACAGAAAAAATTCATGAATTGATCATGATCATCTGGCAAAAATTATTTTTGTTATCATTTTTTTTAATGAAATTTAAATTTAAAATTTTGAATTTTGTTTTTCGGTGGTCAAATATTTGTTCTTCTTTAGCCAATTATAATTTTTTTCAGTTTTTTTTGTTTGTTCGAAAATTTTTAAAAATAAATAATAATAATCATCATCATTTTTGCGAGTATTTTTTTCGAATTTTATTGCCAACAATTTTTCGTCAGATAACATTGAAATGCCCAATTTGGTAACATAAATTCAAGACGATCCATGATGGTAGCGGATAAATCATTTAACCAGTTTATATACTATATAAGATTTTAAATTTATGAAAATTAATTACAGAAAAAATTCCCACTCTTAATTAAACTTACTGATTGTACAATAAATACAATTTGCACCGGATATTGATAAAAAATAAATGTCATAATGGCTGTCAATGTACAAAGACTAGCAGTGAATCGTATGAAAAATGGTAACGATTTTTTTGGATAAACAGATACTTCATGATAATCTGGTAAAAGTTCACGATCAGTACATTCAGTACAGGTTAGATATGGATGAAATAGATGACCTTTTTCCAATGGAAATGGTATTATTCGAAATGCTAGAAATAAAAACAAATAAAATAGAATGATAAATTGAACAACACAACCAATAATCTAATTAAACACTAACTTCCTTTCCATGTACAATCCAAAAGATTTAATGCACCATCAATACGTTTCCAATGGGATAGATGAAAAAATGCATAGGCAATTGCTTCACTATCACCACGTTTAAGTATATGTTCGGGTGGAAATATTAGCTTTTTTGTTTCCAATAAATATTTTGGTACATGTGGATTGAATTCAACGGCACGATGTATAGCTTCAACAGCATTCATTTCGGCCATTGAAAGGCCACGTTTCACTACACTATCTGGTGAAAATTTTTCACCAATATTTCTTGATTTTAATAGAGCGGATGTATAACAAATTGTTGCCGATTTGGGCAGATTAATATCATCATATTTTGCTAATAATGCCTGTACATCGGCATAAGCATTCATTTCAAGCAATGCTTCAATAAGATTTTCATGTATATTGAATAGATTCATCATTGGAAATTCTTTGATTAAATCTCTCATCATTTTAACCGATTCACGTAATTTACCAAGTTTACGTGCGCACATTGCTAATCGTCGTCGTATATAGATTAGTACATTTAAATCACGTCGATGTTGTGCATCAGCAATAGATGTTGATTGTTGATAATGATTTGACGATGATGATGATGTTGATGAATTTGTTGTTAAAGATGATGATGATGATGTGGATAATGATGAAGATGGTGATAATGATGATGATGATGGTGATCGTCGATATTGTGATTCAGCTGCACGTAATGCAGTAAAAAAAATTTTCTCAGCTTCCCATACGGTTTTTGCTTCTTCTTCCGCTAATAATATTAATGCCGGTGCACAATCAGGATTCAATTCTAATGCTTTGTATGCTGAACGTATACGAACATCCGGATCACGTTCACGCCATGCTGTCAACATTACTGAAAAATGATTCATTTGATAATTAGTTTCAAAATCAAAATTTTTTTTTTATCAACAACAAAATACATACTTTCCATATCTTTATGGCCTTGATCACCATCACAGGTGAAAAATGTTTGATGATCTTGTGCCGATAGATTCATATCATAAAATGTTAATGGTTCACGTTTATTAATGGCCATTGTTAAACGATTATATTCACAACCACGAAATAAACTCATTGGATTGCGCCATACTTTTGAATCTTTTTAAAAAAAGGATATTGATCAATCAGATAAGATATTTTTTCAAACAGCAAATCAAAAACTTTACCTAATGAAATATGTCCCTGCATTAGATGGCGATTATTATCGACAATTGGCTGATGTTGATGATGATTATGATTAGAATGCTGCTGTTGTGGTTGTTGATCATCACTTTCACTCGAATCAATTGATGATGATGATGATAAATTTTGATTTAAACTGCCGGAAAAGCTACCGTTTTGTTGTGAAATATTTTTATCATTATTTTTATCATTGGTAGTGCTGCTACTGCTATTATTACTACTACCAGTATTGATGCCACCGAATATTGGACTCAAAATATTCATCAAAATCTGTTCGATGAAAGAAATACCATATTTTGCAAAATACCACCATTCAAAAAGCTACAAATTTATTTGGAAACGGATTAAAAACAAAGATTATTTATGAATAGTTTGAAAACCGACAAAAAATAAAAGCATTAATTTAGTCAATCAATTACCAGAATTAGAATTGAAATAAAAAATGATGATGCAGTCAATGCCAGATAGAATCTGGGTGTTAAAACATTCCATAATAATAATCCCATAATTTTTTTTGTTTATCATTTGATTGATTTTTTTCCGGAATGAATCGATAGAAAGCAGACAGAATATGACAAACTAAAAGGAAAGAAGAATTTTTTCCTAAGATTCTTTTGATTATTGCCGTTTTTTTTAATATTGATGAAAAAAAACAAGATACACATACACACACACCAACAACAGAATTTTGTTGTTTGTTGTGATTCAGAATGGAATTTTTTTCCTCTTTTTTTTTCATTAAAAAAAACCTTTCAAGGACCATTCATATATATCATGGTTCAAGTGGGAAGGAACAATGTTTTGAAAAGAAAAGATTTAATTTTTTTTTTTTGGTTGTTGAAAACTTTTATTTAAAATTTGTTTACAAATATTTTTTATTATTAAAAAAACGAAACATACAAAAAACTACAAACTATACATCATTAACTGAGAAACATATGAAATTAATATTGCCCTAAATCTGAAAAATTGTATTAAAAAAAAAATTCATGACGAAAAAAAAATTTGTGAAAAAAATTACATATTCCATGTTTGTTGCTGATTTTTTTTTAAATTTTTTTGGTGAAACCACCACCGGTGAATTGTTTATGATTTTTGATAAAAAAATATTTTTGTCTATCTTTTTTTTTGTGTATTTTTTTGGAAATTTGAATATTTTTATTTATATGAATAATATATTATTTCACATTATCTCACTCTGAATTATTTGATTGATGGATATGAACGTTTAATACGTTCCTCTTCGGCTTGCCATTCCATTTTACGACGATGTTGTTCAATAGCATCATTCACTTTGGTCATCATCATTTCACGTGTTAATATACCATTTTCAGATGCATATGCGGATGCTTGCCATGCAACAGCCAATTTAGCAATTTCACGACCAGAAAGACCATCAATTTTTTCAGCAATCTCTGTACAAGTGGAATCATAATCAAATACATCCAATTTAAGGCGACTAAATGAATAAACCAAAACAGTAATGAAAAATAAAAAACAATTAACTCATTCATATGATCCTACCTTCGACGACTAACAGATGGTTCCAAAACAAATTTATCAAAATATAACCGTACTAAACGTTCACGTTCAGATAATGTAGGTAGATTGAATGAAATCATTTCATCTAAACGATCATGTATGGCCCAATCAAATTGTTCGGGTGTATTCGATGCTAACACCAACATAAAACGATTCGATTGATCACCCGTACGATAAAGGAAGGCATTCAATGCTGATCGTAAGTGTTCACTTAAAGTTTCGGAAGCTCGTTTACGAAGAAAAGCGTCAGCTTCATCGACAAACAACAAAAGGCCACGACGTGATGTTGTTGCCCAATTGAATAATTTATGTATGGCCGTTACACCATCACGACCCATTGGTGCAACATCACCACCTGACATGATTGCATAATCCATACCGGAATGTTCAGCCAAACGTTTAGCGAACAATGTTTTACCCGTACCTGGAGGACCATAGAACAATACATTACGATAAAGACCACCATTTTTCTTTGTATTTTTTGTCGCAATAGCGATATCACGAAGACGTTCTTCAAGACTAGGCTCAAGTATGACACCTCTCAATGCATCCGCTGGCTTACGACTTAATGCTAATCGTTTGATAGTTTTATATGGATGTTGTAGACCATCAATCATATTCAAACGAGATGTATCACGTACTAAAGATGGTCTTCCAACACGTGCTTCGAGTACACGACCAGCTAAACCGATACCATGCTTAGCGGTATATATACCGGCAGCAATCAATGTAACACCGACAGCCGTTGCTGATACACGTTCCCAATCGGAAACGAATGCCCGAAAACCTTTACCAAACACATCACCAGCTGTCACTATAGCTTCTAACAATGTTGTTCGATCTTCAGCCGCTTTTGCCTTCAATTGTTCAAGTCGAATATCACGATTTTGTCGTTCTGCTTGTGCTTGACCTCGAATTTCTGCTTCAATTCGTTTAGCATCGGCTGATGCACGTAATTCCATCTCTTTTTCTAAAGTTGCTTTTCGAATAGCTTCTTGTTTGACAACAGATTCTTCTTGACGTTTAAGATTCTCATCATTAGCTGCTCGTTGTTGAGCCAACTGATCTTCGAAACGTTTTCGGGCTAATTGATCTTCATATTGTGCTTTCAATTGAGCCTGTTTTGATTCTTCGGCCAACATCCGTCGACGATGTTCTTGCTCCTGTTTTTTTGCCTCGATCTGTGCGCTTGCCATTGCCTGTTCATATTCTTTGATTGTTTTCTGTAAATCCAGCTGTTTGGTCTTTTCTTGTTGTTGGGCTAAATCAAGTGCTGCTTCCGCATAACGAGATTGTTCCAATTCTTTTGCAGCTTTTGCGGCACGTTCCAATGCGGAAGAATCGAATTGATATGGATTCATTTTACCACTGCCACCACTGCCGCCACCGGATAAAATACCACCAGATCCACCGCCACCACTTCCACCGGCACCAACATTGCTGCCGCCAAGACCACCAGGAATACCACCACCGCCATCAGGCGATCCAGGCATACCAGTTGGCTGTTGTGGACTTGAATAACCAAATAACCAAGACATTTTGTGCTGATAATTTGAAACAGTACACAGTACAAAGTATTAAATCTATGAAATTCTCAATTTTAAAAAAATCACTTACATTTGAGATATTTACCAAGGAATCGAATAACAAGGCAGTGAATAGATTTTTTCTCTTGAGCCACAACAAGAACGAGAAATTCTTGAATAAATGATGAAATAATGAACCGAATAAAAAACACGTGTTGGTTACACTCGGTTCGGTGATGTGTGAATGTGTTACGGTCAGGATCAAAATTCAGTCATATCTTTTATGAACGGTTGAACAATATTTGCTTGCTTATAACATTGTTAAAATGATTTTTTTTTCAATGAAAAAATTGATAAATTTTTATAAAGTCAATTAGGCAATTAATATTGGAGATTTTTTATTCGATCCATGATCATTAATGATTGATAAAATTTTCGATGATAATAATAAAATCCACTGAAATCATTTGAGTAATTGTTACAGAGATCTTATATATTTATCCACCACTATCCCTATAAGCGAAAGAATATTTTCCTACTTGTTCGAATGCTACTACCTTAAATAATTCGAATTGAGTCGGCATTTTCCCTCCAAATTATCCTCAGTCAACATTTAAAAACGTCGGCGTTATTCGATATTTTTGTGATTCATAAAAAGATAGAATTTCATTAAATTGAAATTTTGGAACAATGACAAATCAATTGAAATTGAGTGATGGTTCGTTGGATTTAATTCTTGAACAACGTAATCAAAATCTTCAACCAATCGTACAGATATTGGGTGCTAAAATGATGGCTAATAATCGTTTACGTGCGGTTGTTTTTGATGGCCGTACAATTTGTCAACATTGTATTATGGTATCGGAAGAGATTGAATCTTTATTCCAAGAAGGACAATTGGATAAATTTACAATTATTCGTTTGCAACAATATTCCGTATCTTCGATACCGAAAAAAGATAATATTCCTGTCATTTTAGTTCAACAATTAGAAATTCTTCAAAAAGGTTTGTTCATTTTCTATTTTGAAAAAAAATAAATCATCAATTATCCATTTTTTTATTTCAAAAGGAGAAGAAATTGGTAGAAAACTTGATCCAGATGAATCAATCAGTTTGAGTGCTGGTAACACATCTTTTAATAATGGTTCAAATGTTGCTACTGCATCATCGTCAACATCCAATCGAAACACAATGAATGTCAGCATGAATCAATCGATTAGTTCGGCTGCATCGAATTCAGCCCAAAAGAAACCACGAATATCAGATTCCGATAATGTTGATATACGACCCGAAAATGTCTGCCCAATTAGCGTATTGACACCATTCTATAATGCTTGGACTATTCGGGCATTGTGTGTGCATAAAAGTCCTTTACGTACTTATAGTAATCAACGTGGACAAGGACGTGTTTTTAACTTTGATGTTTGTGACGATACTGGTGAAATTCGTGTTACATGTTTTAATGACGAATGTGATCGATTCTATGATTTAATTCAAAAAGATCGTTGCTATTTTATTGGCCGCGGTATGATCAAATCGGCAAACAAAAAATTTTCTTCAGTTAACAATGATTACGAAATCTCTTTGACATCGAATAGTTTTGTTAAACCTTGTGTAGATAACCAAATTGAAGCGCCAAAGTTGCGTTATAAATTCATTCCCTTGTCACGAATTGTCGAAATGGAAGCGAACAACACTGTTGATGTGATTGGTGTAATTCGTTCAGTCGGTGAATTGGATTCGATCATATCGCGAAAGACATCGAAAGAATTGTTGAAGCGTGAAGTAGTGATTGTGGATAAATCATTGGCTGAAGCACGTCTCACATTGTGGGGTGAACAGGCACAAACTTTCGATGGTCAACCTAATCAGGTTCTTGCACTGAAAGGTGCATCGATCGGTGATTTTAAAGGTAAAACTTTATCGGCACGAGATTCGACAAACATTGTTGTCGATCCAGATTTGCCGGAAAAAGATCTACTTACCACTTGGTATAGCACATTGGATCCTAGTGAAAATTTCAATCAATTATCAAAATCTGATTCACCCGCTGGTTCTAATTTCGGTCCAAATTATCGTTTTATCGCTCAGATAATACCGAAAAAAATTCAATCTGGCGAAACATTGAATTTCCAGACAGTAGCTACTGTTCAGGCATTTAGTCGTATACAGAATCATCTGTATAAATCTTGTGGTCAAAATAATTGCCAAAAGAAAGTATCCGATAATGATGGTAGCGGTACTTATCATTGTTCCAAATGTGATCGAACATCGGCCGTATTTGAATGGCGTTTAATGGTCAATGTGATGTTGACCGACGTAAGTGGTTCATTTTGGGTAACTTTATTTCAAGAACAGGCGGAAAAATTATTGGGAAAATCTGTAGCTGAACTATCAAGATTATATGAAGAAGACCAAAATCTTTACATTGCTGCTCTTGATGAAATTCGTTTCAAACAATTCAATTTTCGCATCTATACTCGTTTGGATACCTATAATGAGGAAATTCGTATGCGTCATACTGCTGGCCAGGTTTATGAATTAAAACCGAAAGCATTCATCAAAAATCTTATGCGTTCGATTGAAAATTTGTCACGACAACTTTAAACTTTTCCAAGTTTTTATAGCAAATGACATGCTATTTTCATTTTCATTGATAATATACCCGTTGATTGGTTGAATGAATTGATTTATAAAAAAAACAAAATAAAATAAAATACATTTTTTTTCCATTTCCTAGAAATGTTTTTTGTTCATGTTATTCGGATATTTTCGGTGAAAAAAAAATCTATTTTAGTTTTACACCATAATAAAAGCCAAATATATTCGGTAACGGTTGAATAGTTTGATATTTTTTTCTTTTAAAATCAAAATTTTTAAAAAAACGATCATGTTAGAAAAAAGATTCAATTCATTTGGCCAATTGCAATCGAATTGAACACACAACAATGATGAACATACGAAATATTATTGTTATTCAAATTATCATTATCTATTTGTTTATGGAATCTATTGAAATGTTTGAAATGCGATCAAAATTTGATGATCCAGATGATCCACAATTGATTGGACGTTTTCAATATCATCAACAAGTAATTGATTAATTAATTAATTTTTTTTGTTGACTACATTTTGTTTACATAACATTCAATGTTAAGGGTCTAAATGGACGACATCCAATGAGTTATCGTTTTGGATTTGTTGCTGATGATCATCAAAATCCATTAAGTCGTCATGAAATGAGTCATGCACCAGGTCATGTTACAGGTGCATATTCTTATATTGATGCTAATAATAAATGGCAGGTAAATTCTTATTATTATTATTTTTTCATTGGTTGATATTGAAATTCTTTTTTTAAAAAAAAGGTTGTTCAATATGAAGCACATCCTGAACATGGATTTCGTATCGTAAAACAATGGACTAAAAATCGTGATTAGAAATTCCTACAACCAAAAAAAAAAGAAACCTCATTTACTTCAGCAGAATTTTTCATTTGTCCTTGTTACTGAATGCATATATACAAAAAAAAGCATAAAAGTTTATCATTAATTAATAAAAAAAAGATATTTTTGTCATGCAATTCAATTATCTTGTATTATTTGTATAAAAAGTTGGAGAAATAGAAAAAAAAAGAACCTTGAATTTATCGATCGATTACTAAACAAAACAAAACAAAAATATGTTTCATTTTCATTTTTTTATATATTACCGTCATCATTATGAATAATGAGGAAAAAGAAATACCCGAGAAAATTCTATGTCCATATAGGATTCTTGTTTTTGTTTGTCTTTTTTCATTGATCAAATGACGTGAACGGAATTTCCATTGTTTCTATGGTTACCCAGAATTAGAATCATTCATTTTTTTCCAACCAATATATCCAACAAAAGAAAACAGTTTATAAATGAACATTTTCATCTAACGATTCGATACAATACAGAATACACACACACACATAAAAACATTAAAAATACAAATAAAAACGGTGTAAATGACCAACAATAATAAAGTATTTTGATTTTATTGTTCATTGTGTTTTCTTTTAGTTTAATTATTATACATTCGATGGCTATGATTCAAAAAATTCTAACCCTTTGTCGTTCATCATTACCATCATCATCATCATCATCATCATCATCGACTGATAGTGATGAAAAATCGATTGAACATCAAAAATCTTCATCATCAACAACATCATCGACAATAACAATGGTCAATAATGATGAAGAAAATATTATGATGATGAAACCAAAATGGCAACCAAAAAGACATTTAAATTGTTGTGGTTGTGATTGGTTTCATCTTGGAAAACAATGGCAAAATTATCGTAATAAACGACGAAATGAAGATGAAATAAAATTATTATTAATTGGTTTAGATAATGCTGGTAAAACAACATTAGCATTACATTTAGCTGGAGGTAAATTTTTTCTCTTTAAAAACAATATATTTACAATTAATTAATTCTTTTAAATCAGAATCAGTTGATGATGTTGTTTCAACAATTGGATTCTCTAAATATGAATTAAGATTACGACAGAATCGTTTTAAAATTGTTTTATATGATGTTGGTGGAAGTGCACGAATACGTTCAATATGGCATAATTATTATTCACTTGTACATGGTATAATATTTGTTATCGATTCAGCCGATCTGGAACGTATACTTGAAGTTAAACAATTATTACAGGAATTAGCATCAAATCCATTGATTCTTGGCAAGCCAATTTTAATGTAATGTCTAGTGTAGTGTTATGCTATTAATGTAGTAGAAAACTAATGAATATTTTTTAGATTCTTAAACAAACAGGATATTCCCGAAGCAATGGATGAAATTGATCTTTGTAAATTTACAAATTTTGAAGAAATTTTATCCAAATATCAATGTATAACAAAAATTGAATCAATATCAGCTAAAAAGACTGCTATTCATAGTCATAATAGTAGTAATGAAAGTCCTCATCAAATAGATTCGACAATCGATTCAGGTTTAAGATGGTTGTTAAATTGGATCGATGATCAATGGCCATTATTAAATCTACGTGTAGAACAAGAAAGTCGACAACAAATTTCAAAAGAAAATGATACAATGAGAAAAAGGATTAATCGAATTCAACAACGTATTTTAATCGAAGCCGAAAGTAAAGTACCAAATACTATTGCTGCTAACAATGAAACAAAATCGATCATTATCGATCATCAGCCAAAATCAATCGATAACATTGATAATAATAGAACAAATGATAATGAAAATATTTCATCAATCGATAATGAGAATATCGGTCATCATCATCATCATCATAAGCCAGAAATATTATTGATCCCAAATGTAACAAACGAACAACCAACAACAACAACAACAACAACAACAATGGATGAATCAATATCAACAAAATCTCCAACCGATTCAACACAATCGATACGGCCACCATTAAAACGAACGAATAAAATTTATCCACAAAATATTGATTAATTTCCAGTTTTTTTTTAAATTTCATTATTTAAATTTTTTTTCTCATAATTTTTATTGAAAATAAAATTATCAAATACAATTGGGCAAAATATTAAAATTTAGAAAAAATGGTGACAAGAAAAAAAATCAAAATCAAACTGTCGTAACTAAACATGTTTTACGATTTGAATTTGAATTCAAAGTCGATGATGATGATGATGATGAATCAATAGTATTGTTGGATAATGATGGATCATCTTTTCTAGTTTTATTATTTTTTTGTTTTTCAATAAATTTTCCATCATTTTTGTTGTTATTTGTATCGGCCATATTTGAATCGTTGTTGTTGTTGACAATATTCATTGACATTTGATGATTAATGTTTGATTCTTGATCAATAAATTGATCATTGCTGTTATTATTATTATTATTTTTATTTTGACATGGTGATTTTACAAATGTCATGAATGTAAAATTATTATTTATCGGTTCTTGTTGTTGTTGTTGTGTGATTATTGATTGTGATTTATTTTGATTATTACGTTGATGATTCAATGATCCATAATGATAACCATGTGGTGGTTGTTGTTGTTGTTGTTGTTGATAACGATATTCATCAAATTTTGGTGACATTTTCAATGTTGTTGAAATATTATGATTGGATCGATTCATCATCATCATCATTGATAATTGATTAGGATAATTATCATCATCAACAACATCTTTAATTGGTAATGAATCATATGTTGTACTACGTGTAAGATTTGTTTTCATCATTATCATTGTTTCATGATGATTTGCCAATGATCTAAATGTGGAAAGATTTAAATTTAGAAAAAAAAATTTTTATTCGAATTATTAATGAAACAATTACCTTCGTGTGGGAATTAGACGATCAAACATGGAACCAGTAACGGATGACTTATCAATAAATTCCTGTGATCCACCACTAACTGATGCTGATGTTTTTAATGAATGTCTTTGATTCAATGGTAATGCTGGTGTGGGTAATGTTTCAATGGTTGGCGATTGTTGTTGATCTAATTTATCATGAGTACTTTTACTACGTGGCCAGAATTTTATTTTTGATTTAACATTATTATTATCATGTTTTTTGCTCGGTTTTGGTGATGAAAATAATTTCGATTTAATATTTGATAATAAAGATTTTTCTTTGGATTTTATTGATACAGTTGGATTATCATTATTAGATTGTTGTTGTTGTTGTTGTTTTGACAATAATGGTGAATGGCCAACATGATGATGATGAAGGGGATGGTTTGCTGTCGATGTAGTTGATAATCTAGGTGGACTATCTAAAAGTAAATCTATTTCATTATTTGTTTCAGCATCCGCACCAACTATTGGATGACGATCAAAATATTTAGATGATGTTTTCACAGTCGATGATGATGATGATGATGATAATGATGATTTATTTTGAAAATATCGGGCATGACTTTGTACAACTTGTTTACGATGTTTACTTGTAAACATCATATCACGATCTTCAAAATCAGCTTTCGTATTATTATTCATTATCATGAATTTATGTCCACGTTGTAATGAACGTGAATTTTGTACAAAATTCAATGATCGATCATGATGATGATGTTGATTAAATGAATTGAACTGTTGATTAAAACCATTGGTAAAATCTAATTCTTCCATTCTATCATTAGTATTATTATTATTACGATTACGGCTATTTGGACGATAACGTGTTTCCGATTCTAAATCTTCTAAACGTTCTAATTGATGACCACCATACGATTCGTCACTATTATTATTATTATTATTGTGATGACTAAATGAATGAACACTAGCTGATGATTTTGGTTGACTCGAATGTTTCATTGTTGTTGATGATGATGATGATAATGATTTTGTTGCTCTTGTTTTATTGTTCATCATCATGGCTGTTGCTGCTGCTGCTGTTTGTGGTGATGTTGATAACATTTGTGCTAAGAATGGATCATTTATTGATGGATTTGGATCAATATTTGGTTTATTATACAATACAATCGTAGCTGTATTTGATTCATTTGTTGTTGTTGTTGTTGTAGTTGTTTGACCATCAACAGAATCGATCGGATTTGTTGAATTATTCGATATGATTGTTGCACACGGATCATAATCATCTAATGGTAATATTTCCGAAATATCTGTATCCGATTGATCCGATTCATAATAATTATATCCTATTGGTTGATCATTTTTGTTACGCTTCAAATCATTTTTATTATATGTACGTTGATCACATCCATTTTCCATTTCATCATCATCATCATCATCATCATCAGTATTTACCTTGGATGATTTATTAATTTCTCGTTTTTGTTTTGGTTCTGTTTGATTGGAATGATGAGCAATTGGTTTCATTTTTGGCAATGTACGCGATACTTGTTGTGGAACATTTCGTAATGGATTATAAGTTTTCATCAATGAATGTTGATTATCATTAATTGATGAAAATTTACTATGATGATGATGATGATGATAACCATCGGCTGTACTTAACGATGATGATGAATCTTTAACCGAAGAATCATCATCATCATCATTAACACATGATTGAACTAATGTATTAATTTCTTTGGCACAATTCGAAGCAGCTTTTGCAACTAATAAATCTTGACTATTTGATTTACGTAATGGTATATTATCGATACCAATATCCGATATTTCAGAATCAATACTACTAGCCGAACTTTGTGACATTAATGAATGATGATCAATAATTGATGGTGGTTTTGTATTATCCAACAAACTATGTGCACTACGATCATCAAATGAACCTGTATCGGAATGATCACCATTACCATTGATTACCGTTGGTTGTAATTGTTGTTGGTGTTGATTATTTTTATTCAAAATTGTTGTACGTGTAGTTGGTATTGGAATAATTTTCGATACATTCTTATGATGATTTGCTGGGCTAGTACGATTTGTAGCAGTATTATCACGTTTTGGTTTTCTTGGCGAATTTTTTACGTTCGATTGACATTGATTTGATGATTGACCATCGGCTGATTGTCTTTGTGGATATGTTGTTGCTGCTGGTGATGATGATTCGCGTGATACTATGATTAGTAAAAGAATTTCATTAAATTAGAAAGAATTTTATTGAATCATAAGCAAAAACAAACCTTGTGTACAGATTATATAGGTTTTTTCATCATCATCAAAATTATCATCGTGATGATGATGATGCTGATGATGATGATAATGACGATCCATTGATCGGCTTGAACGATTATTGTTTATTGGTCCGGAATTTGATGAGGTTTGTCTAAAATTGTTATCCACATTATTATGATGAATTTTCGGCAACGAACCCAAAACATTCTGGTTACTGTCCTGCTGTTGTTGTTGTTGTTGTGACTGTATTTTGGTTGTCTTGGCAACATTTGCAAGATTTCGTTGTCGATGCGACATCGATGATGATGTTGAAACAACAGACGATGAACGTATTCCAGTTGTTTTATTTATGTTTCCTGTATGATTCTGTCCAGATGATGCCGATGATGAAGTGTTGACATTTGAATTGATACCAAGATTAATAACAGCATCTAATAATTGATAATCATCAACATCATCATCAACAGTAATAGTTGGTTTGGTCGTTTTTGATTCTGTTGATGGTGGCGGGTGTGGTTGATTACTTTCTTCGCGATTATTATTATTATTGTTGTTGTTGTTGCTGTTATTGTCCGAATTTGGTGCAATCGTAGTTGAATCTGTAGCGGTATTATTACTAGTATTACCAATACCATTATCCGAATCGAATGAAAGTGATGATAATGATGAATGACATTCAGAAAATTGTATCGGTGTATCTTCAACAAAGAATTGTCGACGTTGATCACCAATAGCACCAACTGATTGTGCACCCGATGATGGTACATCAATCATTGGTTTTGACAATGATTTACGCAATAATGGTGATTGTTGTTGCGATGAAATTGATTGCTGACCAATGACGTTGCTATTGTTCTGATGATTCATCGTCATGATCGATATTTGTGAAGAATTTTTCGTCATTACTGATGACGAATGTTGTTTATTATTATTATTATTATTATTTGTACGTGGTGATTTATGATGATTATTCTGTTGATTATATAATGGTCTTCGATTATTAGTATCGGTAATTGAAGAATTTTTTGGCGTTGAAGATGATGAAGAAGATGATGATGATTTTATCGATTTCTTTTTGGTTGGTAATGCAAATTCAATACATTTCTTCAAAATTTGTTCATCTTCATCATCATCATCATCTTCGGATACAGATTTCTTGATTGTTTCATTTTTCACAGTAATTGATGATGATGATTGCTGTTGTTGTTGGTCATGGCTATCTTTTTTTCTTGAAAAATCATCATCACAATGATTTTCTTTAAATTTTTCTTTGACAATATTTTCATTACATTTATTCACCATTTGTTTATCATCTTTATCATTATCATTTGATTTCATCACTGTAACATCATCATCGTCGTCGTCACCAATCGATTGTTCAACATTTGATGTAATCGAAACATTGATTGTCGTTTGTTCAACAATCGATGAATGATCTTGATTATTATCATCATCATCATTATCATCAACATTCAAAGAACTAAGACTTGTAGCATGTGAAAATATGGCTGGAGTATCTTCGGTTTCGAATTTAATTGCCGAATCTTGATTGAAATATTCAGCATCAGTAGTTTTATGATCATTTTCATTAGTTGATTTTGTATCATTATTCCATCGAGTATTATTATTGTTTTTATCCGTTCTTATTATTCGATCAATAACATCATTAGTTGTTGTTGTTGTTGATGATGATGGTTTCGGTGGCAAAATAGGCTTTTTATTTGATTCATCGATTGATTTGGATGAAATTCTTGATACATTACGATTCAATTTTATTGTAGATGTTAGATTTATTGGTGATAGATTATTCGGTGTATTTTTCGAAGTTTTATCAACATTATTTTCAAGACTAGTATTCGAAACTTTTGAAGATAATTTTGGTTTTGTTTTCTTTAAATGATCTTCATTTTCACGTTCATCTTCATAGATTGATTTCAGATCAATATCATGTAAATCGGATAATGATGGTGCAAGACTGAACGCTAATGGTGTACCTTCAGTTTCGTAGATTTTTACTGAATCTTCACCAACAGATTCGGATGTTGGTTTTCCACCTCCACTTCTATTACGATGCGAATGATGATGATGATGATGATGTCGACCACTCAATTCATGTCCATCTTCATCATCTTTATATCGTTCACTAAAATCGGTTGTATAATCAAGTTCATCATTATCATCATCAATAATTTCTGATGTTTCATCTTGATGAATAAATGCTTTATGGCTATTATTATTATTATTATTACCTAATGTTTGATTATTGATAGGAATTTGGCACTTTGAATCTCCTGAATAGATATCATAATCAGAAGAAATACCATCAGAAATGATCGAAGAATGATTATTATTATCACAGGTAATTCTTGTTGTGATTGTTGCTGTTGATGAAGATGATGATGATTGTGATGATGATGGACTTTGATCATTACATTTTCGATTAACATTACCTAATGATGATCGATTTGATTTATTATTATTGGATTGTTGTTGTAGATGATGATGTTGATGTTGATATGAAGCTGATACAAATGATGAATCTGGTGTTGATTTAGTCATAATAATTGTTTGACCATTATTATTAATATTTCGTCGTATACTATCATGACTTGTTGAACGTGAAAATCTTGAACGATTATGATTTGATGAGCCAAAATTAAATGATTTACTCAGATCGATTGGTATAATTTCATCATTATTATTATTATTCAAATTATTCAATGTTGATAGATTTGCAATTTCATTTTTAATTGCTTTCATTTTTCTCATCGGAAACGATGAAATTGATAATGATGTTGATAATCTTTGATGATGATTATTTGTTTGATTTTGTTGTTGTTGTTGTTGTCCATCATTATTGAATGATGAATGTATCAGATATGCATGTGATGTAACTAAATGTTTATATGTTGCCATTGCTCCTTCACGTATTGTACGATGTTTTGAATGTATTAATTTTGCCAATTTTGTTATAGCATTTGATTCGATCATTAGTATTTGATCACGGCTTGATTCTTCTGTCAATACAGTGAATACAGATAGATTTGATAATATAACACAGGCATTACTAACAACATCTAATGATGATGATTCTAAATGATTTAATAACATTAATATAACATTATGTTCACGTAATATTTGTCGATATTTTTCCTCTGTTGCCAGATATGATGATATGTTACGAAGAATACGACCACTTGCCTCAACAACCGATATGGATAGTTTACTAATTTTATTATCATTATTATCAGTATTTTTACATGAATTATTATTATCTGGAGATGTATTTTTTCTTATCGAATCATTATCATTGGATGTAATTTTCATTGATTTAATTAAAAATTCTAAACCACCATTAACACGACAAAAATCAGCTTTATTCTGTGGTGATGAAGCTGTAAGATTACCCAATGCTGCTAATAAACATTTTATTGTTGATTCTTTTTTCACAATCAGCATTGACTAGAAATAAATGAATAAATAAATAATTTTTTTTTATTTTGAATAAACCAAAATCAATGGTTAACAACAAAGAAAAAACAAACTTACATTAGTCAGATGAGTTACAGTTTTAACATCACGCATTGTTTGCATACTAATATAATTAGTATCCCAGCTTAGATTCTGTATTACTTTTGCAATTGCTTGTATAAGATCTTCATTCGATGATATACGAAGTAATTCAATTAAAACAATTAGAAAAGATTTTTTCGATCCTAATAATGATTTTACTTGTGGATTATTAAATGTAACATGTGTCAATATCATTAATGAATATAAACGTATTTTATAACAATCTTCATTATGTGAATCACCATGACATTTATAATCGATTTTAATTACTTCGGAAATAACAAAAACACCACCAAAATATTCAATAAATTCAATTGATTGTTGTTCGCTACACATTTTATATAGATCAATAATTAAATTACATGGATGATCAACCGATTCGGGTGTTGAATCCGGTTGATTTTCTAAAAATTTTTTCAATAAAATTTCAACAAATGCTTTAAGATCTTCAAGTATTTTTAATATTTTTAATTCTTTACGATTACGTTTTGTATGTTGTACAATATTATTTAATGCTTGTATAAGATTACGATGTACACGTGATTGTTGTTGTTGTTGTAATTGTTCAAGATTAAAATCATCATGATCATCCATTGTTTGTTGATGTATTAGTCGTATTAACATCGGTACATAACCACAATTACGCATCTCTTGACATAATAATGGTGATTCAGACATGAAACATAATTTTTTAGCAAATTCTTCGGTTGATGACATTTTCATCATTTCTAATAATGAACATAACATTTCAGAATTTTTTATCATTTTATTTTTATTATTCATATCATTATCATCATCATCATCATCACTATTATCATCATTTCGCAATGTTGCTGTTGTTATTGTTGTCGATGATGAATCGATTGATGAAACCATTGTCGATGATGATGATGATGCCGATGATATACCCGAATCGATACGTTTTTGTTGTTGTTGTTGTTTTCCAACAATTTTTTTTATTGTTGTTGCTTTTCGATCATCATCATTATCTGTATCGACATTTTTTATTGATTCATTATCATTATTATCATCATCATTATCAGTATTTGTTTTTGTTTTAATCATTTTTAAATTTAATTTAAAGGAATTGTAAAATTGGAAAAAAAGGCACTAGAATAAACACAAAGATAAATGAATGAATGAAAAAAAATGATTTCAGAATTCCGATTTTTTCTCTATGGTTTTCAAAACCAAAATAAAGAAAAAAAATGTGCAAATAAAGATGAGCATGTATTGGAAGAATTGAATCCACCAATGAAGAAACCATCACCATACATACAAACGATAATCAGGGTATATAAGGTCTTACATTCTCTTGCACACACCAACACACACACACAAGATATACACCATACCACAAATTGAAAGCAAAAAAAGCACTTGTAGTGGTTCGTGGTAAGTATTTTTTTTTTAAGAAAAAAAAATATGGTGGCTGATATATCACCATCGATCCGATTAATAACAGGTCCAAAGAAGAACAACAAATTTTTTTTTTGCTGTTCTCAAGGTTCGTTTATTTTAAATGAATTGTTTAGAATATTTTTTTTTTTCAAAATTTCACTTGTTTATATTTTGCTGGAATCGTGTTTTGTTGTTCGGATTTTGGTTTTTGGTTTTTGGTATTTTTTTGATCTTCATTTCATCCACTTAATCATGAGTTAATGATGTTATCATTTGTTTATATTGTTTGTTATGATTTCCATTCGAAATTTTCTCGATTTTGCAGCATATAGCATCTTCGTTTTTTCTTCCTATATTCGGTCCTTCACTACCATCTCCTTGTTCATTCTGTATTGCGGTATATAATGTAAATAAATAGAAAAACAAAACTTTGTTTTCTTGGGGAAATACACAAACAAATACAGAGAGAGAGAGAGAAAAAAAAATAATGATAACAGAAATAAATGATGGAAAAATTCCATATAGCACTTCAATACTTCAAAAGAGTATATGCGGCATTCAGATAACCACATTTATCCAAAAAAAATAATGTTTGTTAGGATTCGACGCACCATTTTATCATTTGTAGGGTTTATGAAGATTTTTTTTTGTTCATTCACCATTATTTATATATTTCGAGTTTACTGATCGACACATGATAACCTAACCTAATCGAACATTCTTATAGTCATTATTTCATTCAACTTAACCTAATTGAACCAATCATTGAAAATTTTTGAATGAAATTTTTAAAATTTTTCGACAATAGATGTCACTCGATGCAATGGAAATTAAGGCGTTTTGAGTCAGCATATTTTCTGTTTTTGGTCCATTCGAGTTTCATTCATTTGTTATCATCATTGCATTTTTTGTTTTGTTTACTGATTTTGGAACCGGATTTATTCCTTAGAAAAAAATAACCAAACAAATTAACAAAAATGGCACTAACACGTGGTAAATTAATTGCCGTCATCGGTGATGAGGTAAGTGTGTAGATTTTGGAAAAAAATAATTAATTTTTTGAATCGTTGAAAATTGAAAAATAGGATACCTGCGTTGGATTCTTATTCGGTGGAATTGGCGAAGTGAATCGCAGTAAATCACCATCACATAATTTTCTTGTTGTCGAAAAGAATACATTACCATCGGAAATTGAATCAACATTTCAGGCATTTTTAAAACGTGATGATATCGATATCATATTGATTAATCAGAATATTGCCGAAATTATACGACACGCAATCGATGCACATACAGCACCAATACCTGCAATATTGGAAATACCATCAAAAGATCAACCATATGATCCACAAAAGGATTCAATTTTACGTCGTGCCAAAGGTCTTTATTCAGCTGAAGAATATCGTTAAGAAAACGAAATTACCAAAAAAAAAATATATACTTGCTAGTCGTCATTCCCATATTTAATCATTATTTATATCCGAACAAAATATCCAAGAAAAATAATAATAAGAAATATAAATTTTAATCAAGTTTTTCATACAAACGACTAAACAAAAAGGAAAAATTCAAAGTTTTAAAAATCATTAATTAATCTCTATGCTAATTAATCATTATTATTATTGACTAGAAAAACAAATTCAGAAAAAAAGGGTTACAATTTCAATCAATATTCATGTTTTGTTTGTTTGTTTGTTTGTTTTTTACATTAAAAAAAACATATTGAAAAAAATTATCCATGTTGTCAATATAAATGCTTGTTCATTGATAATTATGATTTGAGGTCATAATTTGTTTATATAAGTAGATCTTTTGTTTTGATGTTTTTTTTAAAAAAAAAAATTGAAAAAAAATTTCAATCAAATAAATGTATACGAATCCATTCACGTAAATCGGATGATTTTCTTATCGATTCTAATACTGATTGTAGATAGATACCATCATCAAATGAAACAGCTTGATTAACTGGATCTTTAATCCATTGTATCATTTCATGTTTTTGTTGTTGTTGTTGTTTAGATTGTCGTTGTTGTTGTTGTTGTTGTTTTCCATTTATCATATTATGATCATTAAATACACCATTTGACATGATAATTGAATTATCATCATCATCATCATCATTATTATCATCGTGATGATGATCATGGTGATGGTGGTGGTGGTGGCCATTCGATGATGATGAATGTAAAAAATTATTATTATTATTATTATTATTATTCGTTGTGCCATGAAATGCATTTTTTAATGCCTGTATCATTAATCGTATACCGATTAAATAGATTTTTGGATAAACATTATATGATGATGATGATGATGATGATGATGATGTTTCATATGGATAATGATGATAATGTTTTGTTGTTGTTGTTGTTGTTGTTGTAATTGGTAAATCTTGTAATTTATATAATAATGTTTCACGTCCAAAAACATTATTATCATTTAATAATGGCTGTTGTAATGCTGTTATTAACATACGATTAGAATCGATATTATTTTTAATTGAATCATTATTATTTGTACGAAATGCATATAGATCACCATCACGACAAACAAGATAACCATTTGTACCATAAACATATATTTCATGTTTAGGTTGACAATTATAATGATGGCCATTAAGCTGTATATTGGCAATGATTGGATCATCTTTAATTGCTGTCAATAATTTTGTTTTATTATTTTTATTCATCATCATCATTGAACGTTTGTCATTGATCATTGGATGTAATTCCATTTGAAAATTAACATAATCTTCAGTTGTATTAAAACGAATGGCTGAATAAATTTTCCAAAAATTATAAATGATAATTTTTTTCATAGAAAACAAAATCAAAAACAAAATAAAAGTAAATTACCATTTTGACTAAGCTGTTTAAAACATTGGATCATTCCATGAACACGATGTGCACGATAATCGGTTAGAAAACTAATTATATCGATCATATTCGTACCATATAATGATAATAATCCACCACCCATATGTTTATCCCAGATGATTGATTTTTCCTTATAAACTATCAAATAATAATAATAATGTCAATTCAAAAAAAAAAACACCAAATAACTGTAGGATCTATTTTTTTCTAATTACCCGAAATAACATCACACATAACTGTTGCATTAATCAATCGTATATGACCAAGAAAATTTTCATCAATTATTAAACGACGCATTATATTAAATGTTGGTACAAAACGTAAACCTGTCAAAAATAATGTTATCAATGCCGGATAATTTGATGCAGCTTTACGCATTGTAACCGTATCCTTTAATGAATGTGATGGTGGCCAATCACAAATAACATGTTTACCAATACCACAGGCTTTGGATGCAATTTGATTATGATAATGTGGTGGACATGCTGTTATAATTAATTGTACCGATGGTAATAATAATACTTTATCAATAATCGATGAATAAAATGGTATTGAACGTGAATGACTTAAATTTTTAGCATCATCAACATTTGGTGACCAAATACCTTCAATACAGAAACCTTGTTCCTGTAATTGATCGATCAATAATTGGGCTAATGTACCCGAACCAAAAAAACCAACACCAGGTAACACCATTTTTTTTCTTCGATTTTTTTCGGCAATTGTTTGATTGAAAATTTTAAAAAGTCAACAAAATAAAAAATCAAATCACACAACAGAAATCAATTTCCTTCAAACTTTGGCTTTGCCACCGCACACACACACACAATAAGTTGTTATTGTTGTTATCGTATTTTACACTTTAAAGAAAACGTTATCACTTTTGTAATAATAATCATCAACTATAGATACACAAAAAAATACTTCCATTGATGAGATATTTAATATTTTGACATTTCTATGTTGATGATGATGATGTGTATTGCAATCAATTTTTTGTTGTTGATGCTTATAACAACAGTGACAGGAAAAAATCAGCCATCAGTAATCATATTTTAATACCATGACATTTCATCGATTCAAATCCAATATGTGAAAAAAAACAACAACAAAACATAAATGTGTAACCAATGTTAAACAAACACATTTTGAAAAAAAACAAAAAACAAAACAAAAAAACTAACAATAATAACGATGATTATTTAATTAATCCTTTTTTGTTGTTGTTGAATTTGGGTGTGGAAAAAGAATGGAATTGAAAATAATCAATTGATTTTAGAGAATTTTTCTGATGAATTTCGATTCAAAGATGGTGGTGGTAGTAGTAGCATTTGAAACAAAAACTTTTGAAACAAACATCATTTCATTTATAAATGTATCGGTTTTGTTTTCGGTAATTTTTTCTCTTTTTTTATTACCATCATTATTATTATTATCATTGATGATTATCATCATAATCATAATATTCATCATTTAATGTTGGAGAAGAAAAAAAAACACATCAATAAACACGAAATCTAAATCAGTTTGGAAAAATCAGCATGGCACATACACACACACACACAATAAAACAAAAACAAAAAACACAGGAAATCAATATATTTCTCGATGAAATAAATATCACATCATATAATACATCTGAGTGAAATAACTGTCAGTATGCATGTTTGTGTATTGAAATGTTTACAAAAAAAATTGTTATTTTTATAATATCACAGACAAACACATGTTTACTACTCAATAAGAGAAAGAGAAAATTTCAACATTTTAAAGAACCCAATAGATTGAATTGATATATATAGCAAATATTGTATAGTGATAAACACACGGAATGATGATGATAATTTTGAAATGAATAGAATGTCAGTTACGGAAAATCATAATAATAACCGTACGTTTACACGCACGCGTTATTCGAGATTGATGTTGTTTTTTGTTGTGATGTGATGCAACAGAGAAACAAAAACAAATTAAAATAAATTTGGCGCGTTAAATTTTTACGAAGAAGAAATTTTCATATAACAGGATGCCCAATCACATCACATCAACATCAAATCAATAAATAAATGATGATTGGATATCATCGATTGTGATTCATTACACGAACATTTGTTGCAAAAAAAAAAAAAAAAAAAAATTTCATGGTCATCATTTTATCTTCGTTTTCTTGTAATTCAACTGACCGAATATTGTTTGATATCAGTTGAATATATGAACGAGAAAACATTTTCTTCTCTTTCTTCATCATCACATCATCATCGTTTTTGATGCAAATATTTTATTTTTTTTAATTTTCAAAATGTCAAAAGTAGAAAAAAAAAATAAAGGATGCAGTCTTTTTTTTTTTTACTTTTCTGACAAAATACAAACACCTGGAATGTGTGTTTTGTCGTCGAGGACAACGATAACGACAACGACAACGACAACGACGACGATGAAATAAAATTTAAAATATACAAGCACAAGTTGTTGTTGCTGTGCAAATGCGTTTTTTTTCTCTTTTTTTTGCAAAGAAATTCCTTCTTTTTTTTTTTGGTTTCAGTCAAAGTCAATGTCGATGTCGATGTTACCCTATATATTTTTTTTCTTGAAAATAAATTTCAAAGAAAAGTTGACGAAAAGGAAATGATGATTTTATTGAAAATTATTTTGTTGTTGTTTGAATACAAAAAAAATTGGATTTTAATTCACCAGGATAATCAATAAATCAATCAATCAATCAGTCAAGTTATTTTTTTCAAGCTACTTTTAAATAATCAGAATGAAAATGATCATCAACAACAGCAATACAATAATAATGCCAATAATCATCAACTATTATGGTCGATTGAATTTCGGTCGAAGCTCAACAAAAAAAAACATTTTCATTAGTTCAAAGTTTGCATGGCTAAACAATCTAATTACTTTTGGTTAATAAAGAACGAAAGAATGCTTTCTTAATTTTGGCCAACCATTTTTAAATGTTGATGATAAAATATACTGCTACCATATTATTGATGATTCTATAGTAGGATGGTCATTGTCTTTTTTTTTTGCAAATGAATCAAGCATGCATAGAAAAATACAGTTAGTTGGTTCGTTAGTTAGTTAGTCAGTCAGTCAGTCAGTTATATGCATTGTTTTTCTTAATTTTCTTCTCTCTCTCTCTCTCTCTCTCTCTCTCACCTCTTTGATGATTATTGATAATGAGGAATTCAAAACAAAAAACAAAAAAAAATTGTTATTGTCATCATTCATAATTGTTATTTTGCTTGCTTACTATTTTCATTGTTTGATGATAATCATCAAACAGGTAACCGAAAAATAAAACAACTGGACGAACCAATGTGACCAGAAAACAATGTGAATCCAATGTAATTATCAAATAAAACTCTTCAATGATTTATTTTTTCATAAAACAAAAAATTTATTTAAAAAAAATTTGGCGACAAATATCAAAAAGAGAAAAAAAAATGGATTTCCAGGTTGTTTTTGTTAATGTTTCTCTTTCATTTGTTTACACAAAGTAGGAATAGATGAATATTTTTGTCTGTTTTTTTTCTGCATTTGAAATGCTATAAAATAATCGATACTTGAATAATTGAAAATTAATTTGAAATTCAAAGTTGTTAACCGATAAGATTAGTTAACATAAACGTTAATTCCTTTAACATAAATTAATGTGAGGCAATAAAATGTGAAATAAAAATGATATCTTTGGATAACATTATAAAATTGATGAATATTGAATAAATATACCGGTATATTTATATACGAAAGAGATTTTTGTTATTAACGAAGAATTTCGGTCAACGAAAAAACTGTATCATTCAATCGATGAGGAATGATTGCCCGAATTTCAATCAATGTTTCCAATTGTTGTCGTAAATTTTCAGATGTAAACAATGGAAAATTTTTTATCAAATGATCTAAAATTATTTTAAATGGTAACCATCGTCTTTGATGCAATAAATTCAAAACTGATTGAAGTACATTATCATCAACAACAATCATTGAGATCAATAGTGAATCAATATCAATACCATTATTTTCATCAGTGATCAATGGGATTGATGATACTTCCATTTTTTCATCTTCTTCTTTGATCATCTGCATTTGTGATGATTCTATTTCAACATTAATATCATTATTTACTCTACATGGGATATTATAAACATTATCACCATTAATAATACGAATAAAGAATGATGGTGTAAACGAATTTTCATTATTATTAACATTTTCCTGAACATCCATTGGTTCAGGTTTCATAATAGTCAATCCATGATCATCACCATAATGAATCTTGGACAGATCACACCAGAATGCTAAATGAAAACAGATGAAAATGAATTTAATCAACAACAACAACAAACAAAAATTATTAATAATATTAACAAAAACATACCTTTGGCCAAATTGATATTCAATCTTTGTGATCGAAATTGTTTATTCATTGCAAATGTGTCATCATAAGTGAATACAGAAACATTTGGCTCTTTCACCAACAATGGTGGAATTGCAATCATTTGTCCATTATCAGAAAAAAAACTATTTTCCATTAAAAATTTCAATGTAACCAATAAATCATCTACTCTAATTTTGGTTGCAAAAGCCATTTTTTTCAATGTCAATTGTTCAACATCTTCAGATTCGAATTGACATAAGATTAAAGCCTGTAATGTTGTCACTTTCAAATGATATGTACGATCATTTAGATGATAATCAATATCAACGCTACCATAACGTGGATGGAGAAAAATTATCATATGTTTACCACAAACACCATTTTCACGTTTGAAAAAACGAACACATTCTTCATAGGCAATTTTCATTGGTTCAGGAAGTGTTATTTCATAGAAAACAGATTGGAACATATATCTATGCGATACAATGGTTAAATTAAATCCCATTCGATCCTACACAGAAAAAAAATTTATGATAAGTAATCGAAAAATCTCCCGAACAACAAAAAAAACAGAAAAAAAAAACAAACCAAAGTAGCTACATGTGCTGAAGTTGTACACAAATCAACATTATTGGTATCAATAAAACGATCGATAATTTTTTTTGAGAATCTTATTTGAAGCAAAATTAGTTTGGCTGTTTGAATATATGGCCATTCATTAGGTAGATTTTCAAGAAATTTTTGTTCAAGTTCTACATTCATTGTTTGCATAATGAAACGGCGTAAAAATCCAAGAAAATATTGATTCGAAAATTTTTGTGGATTATTTTGTGGTTCAAACCATAATTTGATAAATTTTGCAGCTTGTAAAACGAATGTTTGTTGCCATCGTGAACGAATAGCTTTAAATTCGTTTGAAATGATATTTTCAATCACTTTATGATACATATAATGTATATCACCAGGTTCATCACAATTCAATGAACGATAATAATCAAGTTTCATTTTTGAAACTTGATAAAGGAATTGACGTAATTCTCGATCTTCACAAAAATGATTTCGTGCATTCTTTGAATAAAAATCAAACAAATAACAAAAACCACGTTTTCTAAATTAGAAATTCATCTACTTACTTCAGCCAATTGATGGTAATGTTTTTGCAGTCGATTCTGTTCTTCTTTTACATTAGCAATTATTCTTCGAAAATTTCTTTGAAATTCATTTGGATCAGCCATTTTTGGCTTTGTTGAAATTTGAATTTTGATTTTTTAAAATTTAAAATGGTAAAATATGAAAGAGAACTAATTTCGAAATTTGAAACCCACAGTTTTTTTGTTCAACTGTTGGAATGAATAATTTGGTGAAAATTTTTGTTCACAGAATTTTTTTAATCAAAGTTTACTGGATAGTTAATGATTTTTTTTGTATTAATTAATCAAAGTTACCGGAAATTATGATGAACATTGAAAGAGCCATCAGGCGCTTAAGCATTGATCATTGATCATTGACACTGACGATGTGATGCATATACTGAAATAAGAGAAAACTTTTGCAAAACATTTTCATACATATCAAGTTCATTGGAATACTTTGTACAACGAAATGATTCCATTTTTTTTTTTAAATCCATTTATTAATCATTTAATTTTATTTTTGGATTTTGACTTTTTTTTGTGTTGTTCAGAAAGGAAAATAAAATCTTTTCATCAATTATTCAATGTAAATACAATCAAATCCAAGTAATGGTATTCATTTATTAGGTATGCAAACTTTTTTTTTGTGGATACTTTTCGTTCGCTACAATCGAAAAGTATACATTTAAGTGATTGTGATGATTAACAATTTCCGCTAAATTTTGATTCAAAAGATATCCATCAAAAAAAAAAATTTGTGTGACTATGGTAAAAGACTAAAGGTAAATGTGAATTGTAGGTGCATTGTATAAAATTGGCTTCGATCATTTTTCCCAAATAATATATAGGGTGCCCGGTGGTTAATGAAATCGAATTTCGAATTTTTTTCTTTTTTATCAAAACACCCTGTAACCCTAAGGACCACTACCATTTTTTATATAATCCGAATGTAGCAAACATGTACCACACATTTGGGTGAATTTGATACAAGCAAAAAAAAAAGAATAAAATATAACGCGAGGGCGCGCGAATATACTCGGATATATGTGTTCAACAAGTAGTAGTGGTAAATAAGCGAGCAAGCTGTTGCTGAATGAAAATAATATCTTTTTGCCTTATGTCGGTTATATTTTTTTTTTATCGAACGTCAACATGGATGTATTTTATTGTATAGTGACATATCGAACAAATCCATCAATATAGCCATTGGAGATTATTTTTGCGACATTTTTCTTTTTTTGAATTAAAAAAAAAAATCTAAAATACTAGTCGATAATAAAGAAAATGATGTGTTTCCAAAGTGATGTGAACTCTTCATGATTCATTTTATTCGTTGATCAAAAAAACAAACCAAACAACAAGAGAACCAAAAACAAAAACAAAAACAAAAACAAAATGAAAAATCCAAATCATGGCATTAGTTAATCGTTTTGAACAGGAACATCCTCCAACAGCACTTCTGATACAATCAATTCAGTCTAATAGTTCCAGTTCATCATCGTCATCTTCGTCATCATCATCATCATCATCTCCTTCGACGTCAACATCGGCATCGTCATCATTGGAAACAAATTTAAATCTAAATAATTTAAATTTTGATAAAAAACTTTATCTACTTGGTAAATTTACTACTTGTACATGGACATATGATGAGGATGATGAAGAAGATGATGATGATGAAAATGAAAATGGTGATGAACCAACGACATTATTTCTTAATGCAACCACACCATGTCGTTGTGTTATGTATCGTAATAATGGAATGGAACAATATTTCCGATATATTGATGAAAATGGTAATCCAAATGGTAATAACAACAATAATGATGTTGCTACTAATGGTGAACCTAAATTTTTTCATTTACAATGTGATCTTTGTTCACACACATTAGGTAAGTTTATTTGTTTGTCGATTTGTTGTTTTTCCTGTTTAATTAAAACAAAAAAACATTCATTTGATTTGATGAAAACAGCTCAACATTTGCAATATTTTCGTTCATCGAAACCATCATTATTCACCGATATAGCCATATTGGATGATTATCTTTATAAAGCAGTTGATAGTTTTCAGCTAATGTGTCTTTATAGCCAATCAACTTTGTTTCAGAAACGGCCACTATTCACTATTTATAATCTAATTAATGGCTATCTGTGCAATTATGTTGATGTTGAATATAATTATCGGCAGCCACCATTTGAAAATCCAACTATTGAACAATTATTAAAATCAATCGCCAATGATAATAAAAATAATGTAATAATAAGAAAATATTCTGAAATATTTCTTCGCCTATTTGATCGTTATAAATTTCAATCAATCGATATTGATCGTACACAGGAACAATCGGAACAATTGAAAATATTCAAAGAATTATTTCTGGTCTTTTGTCTACTGCCACGAACAATTAAATCGTATGTTTTTCTTTCACTTTTATTACTGACAGTTTTTCTTATATTTTTTAAAAAAAAATTTATTTCGAATATAATCATAGATTAAAACTATATAGGCCATCAGAAATATTTGGCCAATCACATCTATTATCAATTATCGATTTTCTACGTGATGATTTTAATAAACAAATTGAAATTGTTGATGAAAATTATCATAAATTTCTTAATCTAATCACCTCTGAACATTCATTCATATCAAATTCAAATGAAAATGATTCATCAACTGCAGCTAATAATAATAATAATAATAATAATTCGATAAATACAACATCTATGAATGATCGAAGAAGATCTAAAACATCACCAAATTCTACATTATCAACAAGATTACGTCGTCATAGTTTAGATCAGATTCTATCCGATGGTATACGTGTTTGTGATGTTGAACGTTTATATCAACATCAAAATGAAATATTTGATCGATGTTGTTGTGTACATACAGTTCCGATCGGATCGAATACTGTTGATTCAGTTATACATGATGAAGATTTAGTCTATATTCGTATTGATCCTGCAGCTTCAGTATTGCCTACTGTTAGCATAGAAGTTAAACATTTTATTCTTGGTAATGCTGGTGCATTAATCAATGATCGTTTAAAGCGAATGGGCACGATGAATGTACATGATAAATTATTTGCTAAAACTGTTACAACATTAGTATTGATACATCGGCCAACTGGACGCTTATTAGCAGTGTTAACATTTGATTTTCGTTCGAAAGAAAACCTCGGTGAACTGATATTTCTTGTTGTTACACCACGATATCAACGACGTGGTTACGGTTCAATGTTATTATCAATAATGGCTAAAATGATTATACCAGAATGTTCAGAATATGCTGTACATGCTGATCTAGGTGCTATCGATTTCTATAAACGTATTGGTTTTATTGAAGAAACTAATACAAAAGAAATTATTCGATTAGAAAAATTTATGGGCCAATATACTGGTTCAGTATTGATGCGTGCAAATCGTACGATTATGATGCAGAAATTACGTCCATTATCATTAAAAATTGATTTAATTTCTATCGAAAATATTCAACCAACACGATCTAATTGTCCGATTCATGTTGGTATTAGTCAAGCTTTATCCTCATCATCATCTTCAACATCATCAAATGATCAAATGAATGAAATTAGTATGGAAGAATTGAAAATATTTCATCATACAATTTGTGAACATTTAGCACCATTATTAGTTGCAACGCAGAATGTTCGTGATTCATTAGCTCAATCACGTGATAGTGCTGAAAATTTAGTTGTTTATGATAATCTTGTTCTATTTAAACAATTAAATTCTTCATTAATGTATATCGATCTAGCGCGTATATTATATTATCGTTTTTTATGGTTCATAACACACTGCCAATGGAAATATAGACGTGATTGTAGATTAACAATTGCACGTAAAGTCGAATGCCATTTAAAACGTTTATTTGTGTTCAAATTTGGTTTTGAAGAAATGTTTTGATTGATACACCAAAATAAAAAAAACTTTAAACTTCAAACATTTATTATTCGTTGTGATCTCAGTCAATCAACTGGTCCAATTTTGTTTTTGATATCATCACCAAAAGGTAATTTAGAATTTTTAAAAAAAGAAAAGAATTCCTTTAAACAGGAAACAAAAAACTTGTATTAATTCATCATCATCAATTTTTCATCGAAAACATGAATTTTGTCACACATTCCATCATTATAATTTAGTTCATAATATTCATATGCATTATCTCATTATCAAACTTTATTTTCTTTTATAATTTATAATATAAATGTGTTCATTTTTTTTTTAATTTGCCATTTTTAAAATCTGAATTATATGATCAATAAAAGCTCAATTTGTTCTTATCGCCATGAGATGGAGTTACTAGTTTCATTTTTTTTCTCTCTCATTTATTTTAGCTGTTGCTGTATTTTGAATTTATCAATTACATTATTTATCATTCATCATTCAATCATCAATCAAACATTCAACAAAATATGAATCTTTTTTTTGAAGTGATATGTATCACAAGATTCATATTTTGTTCGTAGCTTATAAAATGATGTTTACAAACTATTTGTTTGATTATATATCAAAATTTGACATTCATTATCATTGATATTTTTTATTTTTCGGTTGCTACGCATATTTATTTTAATGGATAATTTTGATACTTGATTTTTTTTGATTAGATTTCATTCGATTTTGTTTATTTCAATTTTCGAAATTATTATATTTAAATGTCAACAACATCGTCATTTTTCAAAGTTGATATTTTCTTTTTGGTTTTTTTCTCTGGTAATAAAGAAACTTTTTTTCCAAAAAGATGAATCGTCATTCAAATCATTCGAACCGATTCATAATTGGTGTAATTATTTCGATCATTTTATGGTCAACAATTAATCATTGTCAATCACAGGAAATAAAAGAATTTGAAAAACGTAATCATATTCCTGATGATAGATTTCATTTTCTTTCCGATGAATATATTGATTTTATCAATAAACAATTGAATACAAGTTGGCGTGCTGGACGTAATTTTGAACATGATGCATCAAGAATATTTATTCAAGGTTTAATGGGTACATTACCAACACCTGAACATCTAAAATTACCTAAATTATATCATCGTATTGATGATGATGATGATGAATTACCATCGGAATTTGATTCACGTAAAAAATGGCCCGAATGTAAAACAATAAGCGAGATACGTGATCAAGGTCCTTGTGGTTCATGTTGGGCATTTGGTGCAGCTGAAGCAATGTCTGATCGTGTTTGTATTGGTACAAAAGGCCGAATCAATGTTGAATTATCACCCGAAGAATTGGTTTCTTGTTGTCATAATTGTGGTGCAGGTTGTCATGGTGGTTTTCCTCCTGCAGCATGGAACTATTTTGTACAAAATGGACTAGTTAGTGGTGGTCTTTATGGTAATCATCATACCTGTCAGCCATATGTATTTCCACCATGTGAACATCATATGAAAGGTAAACGGCCACCTTGTGCTGATATTCAACCAACACCACGTTGTCAACATCAATGTGATAAATCTTATAATAAAACATATAATCAGGATAAACATTATGGACGAAAAGCATATTCACTTACATCAAATCCGGCAAATATAATGAAAGATATTATGCTTAATGGTCCAGTTGAAGCTGGTTTTGATGTTTATGAAGATTTTCTTCAATATAAATCTGGTGTTTATCAACGACATAGTGGTAAATATTTGGGTGGTCATGCTATTCGTATACTAGGATGGGGTGTCGATACTGAAAGTAAATTACCATATTGGCTTTGTGCTAATTCATGGAATACTGATTGGGGTGATAATGGTTATTTTCGTATATTACGTGGCCATAATGAATGCGAAATTGAAGAAGATATTAATGCTGGTCTTCCACGTATTTAAAATCATTTTTTTAAAATAAAAAACACAATGTTTGAAAACAAAAACAAACAAAAAATTTTATTTCAATTTAAGCAATAAACAAACAAAAATTTAAAATTTAACGTTTTTTATGGAAAATAAATAAATAAAATGACAAATTACAAAAGGTTTTTTTTGACAAAAAAAATTGATGATAATGTTGAATAACTAAAGGGAAAATTACAACAAAAATTAAAACAAAATAAAAATTATGGAAAACGGCATTTTTTTTTTTTTTTTTTTTTTTTTTTTTTAATCCCCCAGTAGGGTGAGGGAATCCAAATAATTTTTTTTTTGT